TAGGGTAGCAATTTCTTTCTTTCCTTTTCTTTCAGAAGTTTCAGTGTGGGTTTGCTTTCAGTTTTGAACTTTCAACATTTTCGGAACGGGTGCGCATCACTTTTCTTCTTTGCCGTGTAATGTTTGGCGTGCAAGAGCAAGACGAGACACTAGGAAAGTGTCTGCCGACACATATTACAACCGTCGGGGGCTCACACGTTGGTATTTTCTTGTCATAATGTGATTGCATATAATTATAACATAAGTTTGGATGGGGAATAAAAAGAGAGACGTGTTTTTCAACTGCTTCACAAGAAGGCGTGAAAGGCAAGAAGGAAACTGTAGTGTTGTGTTCGTGTAGATAAAGGTTCTTTGCTGCACGTGCGTCTGCGCAGAAGGTAAAAGTGCATTTATGGTGAAGTTCTCTGGGTGAATCCAGAAATAACACCAGCAAGACGCACACATACCAGAACACGCCGGAGCTTCACTTGGTCCATTGTTTTCTTTGCTGAGAATACGAAGCCATGTGATCCAAGATCGAGAGGACATTGAGAGGCCCAGAAAGGGCTTGAGAGGAGCACGGCGGATAGAGAGTCAGGCGGCTTGTGACGCTTTTTCTTCTTGGGCTGAAATAATGATTGTCAGTTTGAGTTTCTTTCCGTTTCGCATGTCTGTCTTGGTTGACGAGAATTTTATTTGCTTCACTTGATTTGTCTGAATTCTAATTCTTGGAAGGAAGTATAGCAGCCTCCCTCCCTTCGGGTTGCGAGAGCAGCAGGACGTACTTCACAAAGCCCTGCTACTACAGCAAAAATGGGTTGCACCGGCTCCAAGGCTGCCGGTAAAGGCGCGGCCGACGAGGGCGAAGCGATCGTTCCCAGCCCCAGCAAGCAGTCCAACGGGGGAAAGCAAGAGGAAATCGTGAAGAAGTTGAATCAGAATATCGACGCGAGAACCAAGATGACACGAAACATCAACCTCGCGGCCATAAAATTCACCAAGGGTATGCGCGCGAAGGAAGCGGAGTGGTTGAAATCAGTCACGAAAGAAGTGATAAGCAAAGAAACCGAGGAGAACAAACCCGCCGGTGAACAATCGGACCCGACAGCAGGACTAGCTCCCAAACTTTCGCTCGTGCACAAGCTGGTCGCGCACCGCGGATTCCACTTTTCCGACGACCGACTGGTACGACCCCTGGAAAATTCGTTGGAAGCGTACGAAACCGCGTGGACATCGGGAATCACGAACTGTGAGTGCGACATCGCCGCGACACTAGACGCCCGCTTGGTGTTGCTGCACGACGAGACGGTGAAGCGGATCTGGGGCCGAACGCAGTCGGAGTTGGTGAGCGACTTTCGCAAGTCGAAGCCGAACTTGCGGGAGGGGGACGAGGAGGATAACAAGCCCGGCGGAGAAGGTGGGGAGCAAGAAGCAGCGCAGCGCGATCGGGAGAGTACCGCCACGGCCGAGAGTGTGTCCCCGAAATCCAGAACCAGCAACCAGCACGTGAAACAAGAGGCACAAGAAACGCCGCTGACGAAATTGAAACACGGTATCGAAAAGATTTTCGTACGTCGCTCATGTGTAATAGTTTGGTCTAGTATTCTTTTTGGGAGATCAGATAGATTCTGATGCGGTATTGCAATGAAGAAGCACACGGTGATGCAGAAAGAGAAACTGAACCTGAAAAACAGCCTACCTTGCGCGACACACGGCGCTGAAGACGGAGTCGGGGCAATTTATTGCAACGAAACAATGATCCAGTTGCAGTCGTCAAAACTTCTCTTGCGTTTTTATCAAAACTGTACTTAAAATATGCCTATTCAACACTGTATGATGCAGCTGATGCTCTGCTACACTTTTAGTGGGTTGCTACACTTTGTTCGTGCTCAACCTCACGCAAAGCACATCTAGCATTTTTTCGCAGCGAAATAATCGAGACTCTCGACTCGCAACGACAAGTCCAACGTTGATTTATTCCCTGTTGGATCATAGTTTTCCAACGCGATAAGAGTAACGACCCTAACGGAGGTGTTGCAGTGCGCGCAGGGTATTATCACCATCCCGAAAAAGAAGATGGTAGTCGAGATCAAGCAGGAACAGGGGCCGGACGCGGATGTGGAAATATTGTGCGGAAAAGTCCCCCCTTCCCATATTGAAACGGCACACTTCTGAAAAATTGTGATGCTGATTTATGGCCACAAGTCGCTGCAAGAAGGTAAGTCCCGAAAGCCCGCCGCACTATGCGTGCGGTTTGTGATGCTGTTAGACCTTAAGGGCAGACGTTTGCTATTCTAAGCGCCTAGCTCAAAACATCCCGGCCCAGGCTTTGCATCTGCCTATTTTCCCTTTCTGCAAGACAGAGCTGATTTGTGTACGGAAATCCTGCATCAGAGATGTCCACTTTGATATGGGAAGGGGGGAGCTTTCATCTTGATAGGAAACGAAGCGACTTTGCGACGCGTTTTTTCAACGGTTGACTGAAAAACCGGAACTTTACCTCGACCACATCTCCGTGATCATGAGCTTTTATGGAAATAAAGGACTTGCTTTAAAACTTTTGTTTCGCGCAGACGCAACGTGGTACAGCACAGCAGGATAGAATCGTCTTCATATCGCTCGTATAAGGCATGAAATGGCAAAAACTTTTTTTGTATCTATATGATTTGAGAGAGATTCTTCATACGGATACGTCTACTTCTGTTCCACACCTCATTCAGCTGCGCGACAGAAGCTACACGTTTGCGATCCATATCTTTGACCGCCCGCTGATTTCGGAAACCTGCCGGCGGTTTTACGAAGAGTTTTGGCCGAGCGTGAAGGAGAAAATGGAGGGCTTGGAAATCCAACCGCCGAAATTCCTGCTGTTGCGGGTGTGCAATTCCGAGTCGGTTCTGGATGAGGTATAACTTATGCATTACTAGTACTTTGCACCTGACGTTGTGGATTATGTGAGGATAATATTCTTTCCTGACCAGCACCAGTGATAAATGTGGATTGATGCCGAGAATCAATAAAAACGAATTACAATTCTGACATTCTGAGTGATCGTATACAAACTAAAATAAAAGGCCATGGTCTGCCGCCTCACTCCGGAAACGGACGTCCCGGGCCTGCAAGATCTGCGGGCAGTTTCGCAGGCACTGAAAGTGGAGTCGGAGGTGAAACTGGACGGGTTGCTAGGTCGTGGAAAAAAGGAGAGGCTTTATCAATCTTGTCTTGCTGGTGATGTTTTATGCGAGTACTGTACGCCGCACATGAAATGAAGATCCATATGCCGTGTCTTCTTCCCAACAGTACACCCAGAATTCGAATCAGATAACTATGCATCATGGGATGGAGTTCTCCTTTCTTCTCTTCCATACCCCTACCTGGAGTGGCAGGACGATTTTCTCGATGACAAAGTTGTCCAGGAAAAGTTGGCGGGCTTGTGCAAGTCTATGACGGTGGGGGTCTGGTTTCCCGGTTGCCGCGAGTACTACGACCGAAGATCCACCGCGAATTTGCTGTCGGAGCTCGGGTGTTCGTTCATCAACACTGATTTCCCGAAGGAGTGGTTGGATTGAGAGGAAAACGTTGGAGGTGGTGGTCACGGAAGTACTTGGGAGGTAGGGAAGTTGGAAAGTAGGTGTAGCCGATACAGCCAAAACTCAAATTTGAAAATAAACAAACTTTGAATACAGTTAGATTGTCAACGTATAGGATGCAAGAACACCTTATGATATTGAACCTGGTCACAGATGCAGAAATAAAGGTCAATTTTTACGCACAGAGTTGTACTGAAACTGAAGTATGTAAACTGGAAAAATCATGTACAATATGGTAGTAGAAAAAAATGCAAAATGGATCGAATTTTTGAATTTTTCGCCCGATGGTACCATTACAGTAGTAGGACTCTACTACGCGCGCCGCGGAACAAGTAAAAGTGGTACGGAAATTTGGCACCGTATAATCCCGCGCTTAGTTGATTGCTATCGGTTGTAGTGTCCTTCTGCCTCGTAGACAAGTTGTACACCTGAAAATTAGTTTAATTTCATCGATGAAATGCAACTTTGTACGATAGGGTTCGTATGCCCCGGCTACAGTGATCTACTTAAACTTCAATTTTGATTTTACATTGCAATATGTACATTCGCTAGGCCTGCGCCAGAAAAAAAGTGAAAAGAAGGTGACGCGCGAGGCAGAAGCACAAGTGAGTATCCTCGCTCCCACTCTCGTATTTCCAAATCCGTTGATCTAGTTATTGGGGAGTTGCCAGCACGGAGGTGAGTCTGAGTACTACTTTCGCAGCATTCTTTTCGCACGCCTGAGAGAGTACTTGTTTGAGCAAAGGAGATGAAGTTCGTATACCTTTCTTAGGATGCGCTGAGTGAAGATTGTGCTTTTGAAGGAGGGTTAATTTGGAGCGCGGAGTGAAGTTTTGGATGAGGACGGAGAGCAGGAGGTTATTGAGGTGTCACGAAAAAATGATCTTCGATTCGGTTTGCGTTTATCTTCTGAGGTGCGACGCCCTACTTCCTCAATTCCATTAAGTATGTTTGGGTCCACGTCCACCTAAAATTGCGACTGACCACATTGAACGCTTCTGTAGGCACAGTGCAACGGTCTGTTTTGCACTGGTGAAATAAATTCGTGGTCTAGGAGTTGATTGTAGAAAGAAATTGAGGGTAAGCTGCATAAAAACTAGGAACAATCATGGGGTCCAAGGCTGTCATTCGGCAGCAGGAGATGCCCCAGGAGATGCTGGATTTCCTGGTGGCAAAAACGATCGTGGCACAGGAGCAGTTTAACAGTGAGAAGGAGGTCGCATCGTTTCTCAAGAAGGAGATGCAGGACGTGTATAGCTTTCTTTTCGTTTGATCCAATTCAACAGACGCGCATGACAGAATTTCTTACTCTCCTATTGTTGTATTTTATGAAACTCATGAAAGTCAGCAACAATGAAAAAAACAGGTACCAATCCACATGGCATGTGGTGATCGGGCGATTATGGCAGTGTGGAAAATTTTGTCCTGGCATGGCCGATTGGTTTGGATTTGCGAAGTTTCAGCACTTCTACTTGCAACGCAGAGGTTTGCATATGGATGAAATTTGTATTTGTCTTGCATGATGAAACCGCGCGACAGAATCAAAAATCGCATGACAATCTCAACTTTTCCACCCCACACCGCTTCTTCGGCAGCTACGTGACGCACGAGAAGGGGTGCTACTGCTAGTATGCATACCAAATCTCTGCTCGAGTCAAACAACTTGTCATGCGGTTGTAGGATTGTAGATAGCATAGAGTGCAGCTAATATCTTGTTCGAACAGCAAGAGAAGTTTTAGTTTTGACTCGACAGAGGATTTCTCATGCACACCCACTTTTACGTGGGGCAGATGGGGGTACTGGCTTGGAAAACACCGTGACGCGGTCGGGAAAGTAGCTTTATACAAAATTACTTGATGCACTCTTTCCCGTTTACATACCATTTTACAACTACCTTATCCTTGTTCGCAAAACTTTGTCGAGGGCAGCTTTAGCTTTACTGCAAGCAGTGATAAAATAGATAACGAACCCGAGAAAATGCGATAACTTTCGAGTAAAATATTGACGAGGGCCTGGTGCTGCATATTGATACGCAAAATTGAATCGTTGTATTGCGATCGACCGGTGATGAGCAGGAAGGCGAAGGAAAATTATATGACGCGAGGTCCAGGATCAGGAACAAAATAACGCCCCTGCTGCTGATGTCACTGACCTGAGCATGATCGTCTAGCAGCTCCGGTCGCCGAATTAGAAATTGAGCTATTGTTACAACAACCTGTATCTCCCTGTATTTTGAAAGTCAAAATAGATGAAGTGGTAGGTTTGCTCCACCGCCTCCTTTCCGGGCGCAATCTCCATTGGCGCTGCCCTGGGCTCGGATTTGCTGGAATAAAAATTGTTCTGCTCCTAGCAGCTGCCCGTTCCGTCGTATTTAGACGCACAACGAGGGCGCGTTTGGTTCTCTTTGGTTTGCAGTGCAGCTCTCGGTCGGATGGAAGTGATTTGCGTCTGATTTTTCGCCGGTACTGTCGTTTTTCTTTTTGTTCTATCCTCCTCTCGAAGATTCCGCAACAGATCCCTCTACCTGAGAAGCTGTAAGATATTTCGTTTTCGCTATAGTACTACTCTTTCATCACGTTTCAAAACATTCCTCAAATTGTAATTGGGTATCGACATTGTTGTCTCTGACGTGTGTCTTTTAGTCGCTCTCCATATTTTTCAGATCTGTTATTTCGTGGTCGTTCTGTAGTGCATTTGCCTAGCAAACCAAACCCCCAATAACTACGCTATGGCCCACCAGTCTGCGCCTGTGAGCACCACCCAGAAGCTTGCCGGCTGGCGGCACCGGCTGGAATTCTCGATGAAGGAGGCGAGGAAGCAACGCGGCGGGAATTTCGTCCAACTTGCGACCGTGGATCCCGACATGAATCCGCGGGTCAGAACGGTCGTGTTCCGCGGCTTCGAGAAGTTACCCGCTGTTAATCTTCTTTCAGGTGTTGACTCCTCTTCTTCCCACAACATTTCCTCTAATTCGGGCCCAAACGTAGAAGAAGCCATGAAGATTATCCTGAGTAAAAACGTACCCACACCAGAGTCAAGATGGGGATTTTGCAACACAAACCTGGCAGTTTTGGGAGTCACGCATGACAAGTTTCAGTCCGTAAGGTAGTGCGAGTTAGCAAGGAAAGCCGCGTCACAAATCGATCTGCTGATCCTGTTTACAGCATTACAAGTTCCCAAACGCGATTGAAAATGCCTGTCATGGGGTTGCGCATCACAAATGTTCCTGTCATGGCAAATCTGCATGACAACTCGTTTCACACAAAATTTTGTGTGAAACAATGAAGAAGCTAGGAGTGCCGCAGGACATTGCTGTTGACGCCACAATACAGTGGCTCTCCTTTCGGGCTGTCAGGATCAAGACCGGCTCCCGCCGCTGGTACTTGTCCCCTGGCATGCCCCAGGGGAGCCCGTACAGTGGGGGTTGCTTCAATATCCACAACTGCCCTCTAATTTTTGAGATGCAGATGCGGAATGGGGAAGGGATACAGACTCAATTTAGCGACGACAACAGCCAGTGCGGCAAAGGGGATCAAGAAGCGGCGAACAAGCTCAAGAAGGACCTGGTAGCAGTGGGACAGAAAAGTTGCATTTTTTTCGAAGAGTCGAAATCCGAGGCGGTTTTTTACGATGTGGGGGTTAGCAAGTGGGTAGAAGTCGCTGAAGCCAGCAGGTCTTTGGGGTTCTTTTATGATGGGACGTGGGATTTTTCTTCCCACTACGAAACAATGCGAAAAAAAATGATCAAAGAAAGTGCCTGCGTTTCCCACTGTGCAAGCTTCGCATCACCACGAAGTTTGACGTTTTTGTCTCCACGGTCTACAGCGCAATCCTTTCGAATTCCATCCCGTTCTTTCCGTACTTCAAAAAATGCAACAAAATCCAAATCCAAAAAGATACCGCGAAGTACATCAAAAGTCTAGCCTGGCTCCCAAAACAGACCCCAAATACCCTCCTCCACCACTGTGCACGTATCCCGGACGTGCATAGTTTATTTGTTGTCGAAAACATGCTTTCTCAGCTCTGGGATATGTATAGAGTGTGCGAGAAAATGCTTTGAAGGCCACCCTTCCTAAAGAGCGCGAAAGCATTGAGGAAAGATAGAAACTAAGTCAGGATACTAAAAACAAAGCTTTTGGGTGCCACTTGTCAAGCAGCACGCACACCGAGACAGCGACAAGGAGATGGATCACGACTAGCCATTTTGATGCCAATGAGCATCCGGCAGGAAAATCCAGATCCTTGCAAGGCCGGGCGACGTGGTAAGGCAGACGGGAACGCCCAATATACCTGCACTAGACGCAACGCAAAATGGCCGCTGCGCCTGCTTGTGTTGTCTTCGACGTGCCCACCGCTGCGCCATTAAGGTCAAAAATAGGAATGAGAATCATCTGAGTTTTTATCTTTTGCGCAGCCATATAAAAAAAAAAATCTGCATGACAACTCTGGTGTGGGTACGTTTTTACTCAGGATAAAGATCGTGACGGACCGACGTTCGGAGAAGGTGGGGCACCTGCTGCAAAATCCGAAAGCGGAGCTGCTGTGGTGGTTTCCGTCGACCAACGAGCAGTACCGGATTTTTGGCGAGTGCAAGCTGGCGGACGCAAACGATGCGGTGTACGGGAAATTTGTCGCGGACAACTGGAAGAACCTGTCGGACGCCACGCGCGAGCAGTTCTTCTGGGCCGAGCCCGGAAAGGATTTTGCCGGCGCGCCCTACAGTAAAGCGAGGAAGTACGACTTTCTGAAAGACCGGGATCTGCAGCATCAGCAGACAAGTGCACCACCTGGGGGTGGTTTAGAAGCAGGAGAGCTGGTGCACCGAGTAGAGGAGCAACCACCAGTCGGGGCCAAAATGAATATACCTGTCTACTCTAGTACTCCAGCGCCGCGGCCCGAAGATGAGCAATTGCCGCCACCTAGTCCTAGCGTAGTAGTTCCGAAAGGCGGGCGCGACGCGGAGACGGGAAAGGTCCTGCCGCCGCCCGACGCGTTTATGCTGTTGTGTTTGTTTCCGAAAGAGGTGAAATATTTGCGGCTTGGGGACAACTTCGCGACGATGGAAAGGTTTGAAGCAGCGCAGGACTCCTGGTCGTTGAAACGGGTGAATCCGTAAAAACAATAAATGTTTGACCTGCTAGGATAACAGGTTCGCATGAAAGAAGCGGCCAGGGGGATAGTATGTAGTGCTGCCACCGTTGCGAGAAGAATTTTTCTGACGACGTACGGCTTCTTCCCTGTTCGTGTGCCGGTCGCGAGCGAACTTTTTCTTTCCATTCGTATCGCTTGCTGATAGGGCAGTCTGTTGTTGGAATCGCTAGAAGTGGTTCGAAAGAAGATCTGATTAATGATTCGTCGTTCACGTTCTCCTTGTCGTTTCGCGTGGGGTAGTAGTTTTTACCGGGTTTACTGTTGGCACCGGTCAAGCCTTGCAGCAGGGAAAGTGGCTTGCATTCGTCGACCAGGTCGATTTCATATCGTGACGGTAATTATTGAATATCACAATGACGTCGGTTCGCACAGGATCTGTGTCATAGTTGCATTGTAGCAGGGCAAGAAAGCGACGTGCTACCTGAAAGTTGAGTATGCGTCAGCGACTGTCGGTCCGTGCACCTAGCAACAACCTTGAACATAGAGAAGTTCTTCTTTCTACAACATCAGTACCTAGGCGGAATACCACAACATTGTTTGCCCCATGTCGGCATAACCCTGAAAGAGCGTCATCGCGGGTAGTACAGTGAGTTCCACATGAGACGTTGTATTGTGAAAAAAAAGGAACAGTTTTAGAAAGTGCTTGTTATTCCCCTTCAATACTTACTGCTGCACATCGAGATGGGCAAAATCAAGTACGACGATCTGTCCATGTTCCGCATTCCCGCGGACCTGGACGGGTCGCTGTCCTCCGTTTCCCAGCCGACGCCGCCGGTCAAGAAACTGGCCGACAAGTCCGCAATCCATTCAGAAGAGCGGAGTTTTCGAAAAATCAACAAGGCCGGGGAGTACCAAATGCAACAACCCATGATCTTCCCAACAAGTTTCAAGAAGTCGTTTCCTGCAAGGCAAAAGAGGCAGAAAAAGGAGGATTTCTTGAGGCCCGTGGACGAAAACATAGACACGGCAAACGCTGAAGCCCGTCCTCCAGACAAGGCAGATGAATCTTTACGGAATAAAGTTGAGGAGAATTTATTTCGGAAACAGGCACAAGAACAGGCGAACGAAATAACGCCGATTTACACGGACGAAGAGGAGCTTATCACCGATTCCTCGGCCGAGAACCACGGGCTGAGGGGCAAAGACGTAGACGACGGGCTTCTGATACGCGGGGATTACAATCAGGCGGCGGCCTTTTCAACATCCGGGTTGAATTCGAAAACGATCGGGGATTCGTCGAGCGAAAACTACTACACGGATGAAGGAATTGGAATTCTTGGTCGTGCAGAGGACAAAAATAAAGCAGTTGTACCAGAAATCAACAGCTCCCTCAATAGACCCGACGACGAGGCGCAGACTAAGCTGAACGACGAGATCGAAGACCAACTGCCGGTTGACACCGCGGTAGAATACGAAAAGGCCCACCCACGGTCCGGTTGCTACGTGCTGCACGCGCTCGTCGCGGCTTTCGCGAATGGCATGACGAGTAGGGTGGAGCGGCTGGCGGAGATTATTGTGAAGGTCCAGCCCGCCGGCGTAACGTTGAACCACTGCACGAACAACGGAATGACGCCGCTCCTCGCGGCGCTCCGCTACGGGGCGGGGATCGACGAGGTGAAATTTCTGCTGGAGCAGAAAGCCAATGTCAACCAGAAGCGGCAGCACGATAACTGGACGCCCCTGCACCAAGCGGCCAAGTCGAAGCGGTGGAAGCTTTTTAATTTGCTAATCAACGAGTATAACGCGGACGTGCGTGCAGTCGCGTCGGAGTTCGAGGTCTCGCCCTTTTTAGAGCTGATGGAACACTGCGCGGATGACAGCAACACGAGTATGGAGCCCCAGCACGGCCCGGAAGTCGGTGTCAAGCACACGGCAACGCACGCCGCGAAACTGCTCCTAGGGGCGAAAGCTGATGTGAATGAAAGAAACGTAAAAAGGGAGACGGCGCTGATGTTTGCGTGCAAGGCCGGGAATCTGGAGATGGTGAAACTGTTAGTGAGAAACAAGTGCTATCTGTGCAACTACAAGTGCGTGCTAGAGTGCGAGCAGAAGTGGCACCGGCCGTTAACCGATTTAATGCACCAGGGCGCGGGGAAATTTTGCTCCGATCGCCCGGCGGGACAGGCGGTGCACGCGTATTTACACCATGTAGGGTGTAAGTGATGTTTTACAAAAATTCCACTTCTACCGCCGGAATTGTACTAGAGTTTTCTCCTCCATCTCCTCCTTTATTGCTACCAAACTGTCACAGATACATGGTAAAGCCATGTTCGTTTCACGCTGACGGCTCCGAACACAGGATTTTTGCAATAAAACTCTCTGCACGACCTCGTCACAGAGGCATCGACGCGCAGCATGGGAAACGAAAATCGAATAGATCAAAGAACTGCATCAACGTGCAGCAGATTTTGATACCTTGCTTTGGACGGAACGGACATGTGACTAGCGCTCGCTCCTGTTCGCAATTTTCTGTTTGCGCCTTTTGTCGTTCTGCAACATCATGATCATAGCCTTTTCTTGTATCGTAATCGCTCACTTTTTCATTTTGCACAGGCGACAAAAGAGGTCAATTAGAACAACCAATACGCCGATCACGCGGACCCGAACGTCTGTATTTTCAAGACAGTCCGGGTCATCTTTGATGTTAATGTGGATCGCTGTTACTTTTCGCTCGTAGGTTTTTTTTGTCTGCACTCTTTCTCACACGAACGTCATCGAAAAGCGTTAGTTTTTACTACGGTCATCAACTGAAGAGGAAAGGATTTCTACTTTTGCGGTAATCTTTCAACATCGTATTCAACTTATTAGCCATGCAAAAATTCACGAATGACAATAGGCTGCTCAAGAAAACAAGTGCAACATGACAACCGAGATTATTCTCCTGCAGCACATCCCGAGGACTTATAGTGCCACTACTCCTGTCGATGAGCCAAGAATTCAGTCACAGCACGATCGGATCCAGCGCTTGGATATCGCCTTCCGTCAGTTCCCGCTTTTGCACCGCCGAAGAAGAGAGGAAAAAGCGTTTCGCAGGATGCGTGCTCGTGGACAAGCTGGCCGAGAAGCTCTTGCTCGACCGGCAACTGAAGGAGCAGCAGCATCAGCAAAGGCAGTTCGGCTTGCAGTATCCGCCTTCAACGTCGTCCGGGACGAGGAATGTCGGACCAGGAGGAAAACGACCACAGCAGCAGCAGCAGCCCCCAGGAGCAACCACCGTCTCCTCTATCATGACCGGCAACGAAAAGTCGGAGTTTCTGGCGGGCGCGCACTACTACTTCCAACAGTTCTTCAGTCACCGAGGTTTTCACCAGGAGCGGCCCGAGACGGTGGCGCTCGCGAGCGTGGTGCTAATCTCCAAAGTGTTTGAGCAGCCCATGGTTTTGAATCCGCTGCTCGACGTTTTCTTTCTGCATTTCGCGAACATATCAAGAGGAAAAATCCCCCCTCCCCATATCGAAAACGAAGTTTCTGATGCTGGATCTGTGTACACAAATCAGCTTTGTATTGTAGAGAGGCATGGCGGCCAGATCCCCAGGCTAGGGAGGGGCGTATGGGTCTAGTTGTTCAGCATGGCAAAAGGCTCCCCTTTAGGCCCAACAGCGTGGCAAATCGCTTCCATAATGGGGCGGAAGCTTCTGCCCTTGTCTTCTTGCAAGACAGATGTGATTTGTGGCCTCAAATCCGCAACACAAATCTTTGGAAACATACCTCTTCAATATGGGGAGGGGGGATTTTTCCTCTCAATAGAACACGCCGGAGATTCGCGGCAAGGTGATTCCGGAGGAGATGTTCTACGAAGTCGCAAAACACCTACCGGTGCTTGAGTTGCATGACGACGCACTGGATAGAATTGTTGACAACTCGGACGAGAAAGAGGTTGACAGCGCCGGTATTCATCATCCACCTCCGGCGTCGAAGAAGGCGAAAACGGGAGACAGGTCAGGTCCACACGTAGTTGTTGGCAACGAGAGCGGGACGACGGGGACGAATCGAAAGGAGAAGGCGAAAGCGAGGCAGCACGAGGAGCTGATGCAAAGGAGAACGACGGAGGAGGGTATGGTGACGAGGGAATGCAGGGAGTTACTCCGCAAGCAGATCGTGAAGTGCGAGTCTTTGCTCCTTCGCGCGATAAAATTTGACTTCGAGCGGCCGACGCGGTTTGCGCTGGATTTCGTGGAGCGGTACTGCAAAAAACTTCCGCAGGTCTACACGCAGTTCGCGGTCGCGAAGCAGCTAGGCGGCGGTGGATTAGGTAGTTCAGCAACTTCTGGCAGTATTAACGCAGGAGGTGCACCACAACTCTTCGGCGACACGCCCCTGTCCCCTGCGGATTCCGATTTTTCCGTCCCATCAAATACACCGAGGCACCATGGCGCAGTTGTTGGCGGGAGTAGAACTCTACTAGGCAGTACTGCAGCCCAGCAACAGCAATTATCCACGTCGGGAATAATACCGATGGGCAATAAAGGAGGATCTATGCAGCTGCGTGGGGGTGGACCGCAGCAAGTCAATGCTGGTAGGAACAATAAAAATCCGCCTTCCGCGACCACCCTTCCCGGCGAGGTGCTGACCCAGATCCAGCGGCAGTCGCGGCTCCGGGTGCTGGACTGCTTCCGCACGATGATGCCCCTGAAGTACTCCGCGCGGGCACTCGCCCTGGGCTGTGTCAAGCTCGCGCTGCGGCTCATCGCCAAGCGGTCGGGGTTGGAAATTCTGCAGAAGCTGGACATGCTCGTGTTGGACAAAAAGGTGGTGGTGATCACGAGGCTAGAGAAAAATAAGTTCATCGAGTCGGAACAGGAAATCACGAACGTAACCCGGGACCTGCAGATTTTGATCAAATTGGCGGACGAATACAAGAAGGAACAGCAGTAGGTGTAGATAGAAGAAGATTTTCTACAGTAGCGACATTATTTCGACTTTTTTCAACATCAGCGACAAGAAACAAGGACCGTTGGTAGTTTCATCCCATAAGCGGCATAGGCAAAAAAACGACTTTCGAAAGCGGCGACCTGCTGTTGGAGGAGGTGCGGACACTTGTTGCTCTTAAACCTGGAGGACATCATAAACAGCACCCGCGTCGTGGTCCTGCGGTCTTTAGACACACCTCCTGCAGTTCTACTAAGTTGTACCGGGTAGATTGGGATTCGCTAGTCGTGCCAATTGTTTTTGTGCTGTGTTACACACATGCAACGATCGGTAGCTTGCTTCTCCTCGTATGGTTTCAGTTTTTGCTCCTGTGTCACTTCACTTGTTTTTTCCATTTTTGTTTCTTTTCCGAGTTGTGTATTGAGCACTGGCGAGCAGGGGAGAGAACAAAACAGCCGGAGAACAACACCAAAGGGAACAACTTTTCTGGGTACGTTTCCTGGAGCGGCGGGGTCGTTCCGGATGTGACCCTCCTAAGTGTGCAGCACTAAAGATGAGCGAAGTGAGCGTCGCAGTAATAGTAGATCAAGAGCTAGTACCAGTCTCCTGTTTGCGCCCTCGATGGGTAATTATGTCGTTTCGTACTGCTAAGTACGGCAGTCCGTTCTTTTGCTAAGTAGATTCTTGAAAACTCAAGATGTCCTCGCCAGCAACACCTACAGCGTCGCCCGGCCTTCCACCCTCTCCGAGCAAAATCGCCCTCCGCGGTACGCCCTGTCCGTTCACCGCTGCAGACCTCGATCGGTTCGAAGACCGCTACGAGAAAGCGAGACGATTGGCGAGTGGCGACGGGAATATCTCTCCCGCGAGCCGGCACAGCGGCACGGTTTCCAGCCCCGGAGACCATGATGGTGCTTGCACAAGTCCAGGAGCAACTACAAGCGGTACTGGTAATAATAGGTTGCTCCTGCAGCCGGGGCTTTCGAAATACGATTTGCAGCAGGACCGAATCGGGAAAATTGTCGAGAAACTACTGGGCGACGTGCCGAGCCTGGGACGAGAGAACAGGAACACTACGGGTACCGGCGATGACGACGAGAACAAGTTTTTGCTCGATCATGCTTTGTGCTTCGTGTGCCCGAATCCGGACCACAAGTCGTTTTTGAAATCGCACCCGGAGGGGGAGAAGAATTCTTACGTGTCCTTGGAGAAAGCCCGCGACTGGTACGAAAAGATTTTTCCCTCCAACGATTTAGAGTTGAAATCCGCCTTCGAGAAAGCGTTTCTGAAGCTTCCAGCTGTAGGGAATTTTGGTTCACCGGCTGGAGCAGGCGGTGGTATACTTTCAAGCTCACTTGTGGAAACGGGAACTTCCACTACTGTGGATTCGACGACAGAAGAGAACCACACTACTTCCGGTGCAACTAGTACACTGGGCGGAGGGCCTGCGGCGACCACCCAGCAGACCAAAATTTACCCCACGACAGGAGGCGGAGCTGCGACACACGGCCACGATCATTTTTCTCAAAATCATCTCCCCCCGAATAAACAGCTCCGCCGGTTCGCGAACGGAGGTCAGGGCGCGCCGGGTGTTCAGTTCACGCAGAGCAAGGACAGAAATTCCGTTTCGAGTTCATCCGGCAGCCCGATGAAGATCGTCCCCTTTTACATGCAGTGCGAGAATCCGAAGGAAAAATGCAAGGATTTTCTCACTTTGGTCCGCAACACGATAGTGTACTTGCTCGTGCAGAAGTGCGAGTACACGGTTTGCCAGCACTACTCCCCGGATGCGCGGTACATTTACATTCTCATCGCTGCGGATTTAACGGATTTGAAGAAGCAGGCGGAGGCGAGGTCGGTGTTGACCAAGGTGCACTGGGAGCGGGTAGACCCGGAGGCGTTTGAGCCGCATGACCGGGCATACCGGCCGTTGATCGAGCACTTCATGCAGGCCAAGGACAAGGACGTGCTGGAAGCGTATAAGAAGGTACTGGTGATGAAGATGAAAAAGGGTTTTGTTCAAGAAAAAATTGTGATGCACTTGGGATAATCATAAGTAATTCATTGTGCGGCTCCTGCTCCCGGGCGGAACGTTTCATAGCGAACTGTTCGAGAACACGAAACCCCATCGCAAAAAACACAGATGGTGGGGAATTTCGAGGCGAATTGGCAATCCGTCCCGCCCGAAATCGCTTTCTACCACCAAACAAAATTATCGCGAAGGCAGAAGGTGAAGGGGCTGAAAAAGGAAGACATCACTGGCACCGGCGTCGACGCGAAACCTACGTTAGCCGGTGTGACAAAGGCGCTCGCGGGGTTTCTCAGTCCGAAAAAGAAGAAATCCCAGAGAGCTTCCGAGGATGATTTGGAAAATAATAATGACACCGCTTCTTCCTCGGCGGAATCTGCGGCCGAAAGTTCCGCCCAAAAGCCCCCGGCGGTAGTTCCTGCCGCGATTGTGAAACCACCGAAAATTTTTACCAGTAGTCAACAACATCAGACCGACACTAGCGGTGCCACGCCGACGAATAATAGAAAACCACTTCGCGATGGGACACAGTTCCGATCCAATTCGGTGTTGGAGTTCGTCATTGAGAAGACCGCGCTCCTTTCCGATGACAACAAGTGGCAGGAGGTGCGCAAAGCGTATCTGCTTTACCTGGAGTACCGGGCCCGGGGACTGACCAGCTTCCGGGCCATGCACGAGGCGAACCGTGATTTAGGCTTGTTGAAGACGAACATTGAGCTGCAAAACCTCTGGAACCGGCTCGGGTTCAACGCCGGACCGCTACACGTCGCCCTGCCCTTTACGAACCAGCGGGAGCACGTGCCCTGGTCCCGGTTTCAGGTCCGGAACCAACAGAACGAGTTGCTCGAAACGCCCTTTTCCGCCGCGGAACGACTGAAGATCATGTGCAACACGATTGAAAAGTATCTGGATTTGCCGGATTTGATCTGCCTGCACGGCGGCTTGTTCCTCCAGGACTACTTTCCCATCGACGATTTGGAACTGAAGGAACTCTCCATGGTTTCCTACGAGGAGTACCTGTTCCGGGGCGACTTTGTGTACTCCAGTTTGAAGTCCGAGCCCTTAATCCAAAGCCGGTATTTCGTGAAGGCACCTCCTCCTGGAACTGGTACAGCATCTTCCCCTGACGGCGACGGCAACATTCAGAAGACGGGAACATCATCAAGTTGTTCCGAACAGGAAAGACTTCTCCGGATGACGAATCGCATGAAGCACAATTTGACGTTTAAACAGTTGAAGCAGTTCGAGGACTCTGTTTCGCTGATGAAGAACGATTTGCACCTTAACCGTATGAAGGGACTGGCGAACTTTCCGTGGTACCAGGAATTCCCCAAGTCCGCCGGTGGCGTCGTCTTGCAGCCGGGGATCAATTTTTTCTCGGAGGAGATTGTGCAGAATAGCGTGAACGGTCCAGGGTGCTTCAAATTCGGTTTTAGTGGGCGGGGGCGGAAAATGGTAGACGGGGAAGAGGAGCAGGAGAAAGCTAGCACTAGTTTGGCCTTGAGCGTAAAAGGAGACCGCCGCGACGGGACCGTAATTACAGGAGCAGCCGCCGAGGAGGATCTTCAAACCGACCCTTTTTCCGACTTCCTGCTCCGCCTCCGATCGGGCGAGATGGCTTCTCTCGGGTTCAAGTGGCCGGGCGCGTTCGCGAACTATTGGTCTATTGCGATGGAGCACGAGTATTATGGGCAGAAGATCGCCCTGTATTTCCTCTTCGCGCGCTACATGACCGTGGGGCTGTTAGTCCCCGTGTATTTCGGGATTCTCGCCACCATTTTCCAGATCGTCGCCGGGTTCTACTGGACGGGGTATGAAGAGCAGCGGAACTGCTCGGCGATGATCATGCTGGCGAACGCGTGCTTCCTTTCCGTCTGGTCCAGCAACTGCGTGGACGGGTGGGTGAAGGTGGAGAATACAAAACTCCTCCAGCTCCACGGGGTGCTGCCCACCATCGCCCAGCGACACGCGGCTAGCATCGTCCCGGTACCCAGAAAGCGGTTCCGGGGACAGAAAATCAAGTCGCCGATCTCGGGGGACGAGGGATATTACAAGGAAAAATGCCCCCACCCCCAAAGTTAGAATAATTTGTGATGCAAAGTTTCCAAATGAAAACTTTTTGTCATGCATGAAAGGACTATGAATCTAATCTTTCTGGTGCAGAGTCTAGGCGTATATCGCATTGCTTGCATGACAAGCGCCGCTCTTGCTGGGATCTTGCGCAATACAAATTTTTTCTATTCACGATTGGAAGTCTGTGATGCTGATAGATACAAGAGGGCGATTGTTTCATTTGCAAAGGTTTGCAATACAAATGCTCCCAAGTTCGGTGGTGGGGGCATTTTTCACTGTAATAAGGGAGAGCTGTACTTCGCGAGCTGGATCAAGAAACTGCGGTCCATGATCTCGAACTTGGTTTCGCTCAGCGCGATTGCCGCGGTCATGGTATTACAGTGAAAAATGTCCCCACCCCGGAATTTGAAAAAGTTTGTCATGCAAAGTTTCCAAATGAAAGTTTTTTGTCTTGCATGAAGGGATTGCGCGCCTTTCTGATGCAGAATCTAGGTTCGCAAGGGGTCTTTTGCATCACAGACCCGGCTGCTGTTGGGGTCTTTTGCAATACAAATTTTTGCTATTCGCGATTGGAAACCTGTGATGGTGATAGATGCAAGGGGGCGAATGTTTGATTTGGAAAGGTTTGCAATACAAATGCTCCCAAGTTCGGGGGTGGAGGCATTTTTCACTGTAATACATGGTGGCGGTGGTTTTGATCTCGGCTTTGCGGATCAAGATCGCCAAGTACTGCACGATCATCCTCTTCGACTACCACTACAACTACGCGCAGTCTTTGGTCGGCGCGATCAACGCGGTGGTGATTCTGATTTTCAACTACGTCTACGCGATCGTCGCGTTGTGGTTGACGCAGTTCGAGAACCACAGACTGTACTCCTCCTTCCTGGATTCCTACGCGTTCAAAACCGCGGCGTTCAACTTTTTGAATTGCTACTCCTCGTTGATTATGCATTGCAAATATATCTGGGTCTGGAAGGTTGGAACTTGTGATGCTAACTTTGGACTCTATAAAAGATCTGTATTGCGTGACCAGCAAAAGAGAAGTCCAGTTTGTGCTACGCGGGGAGGGCATTTGTCATGCGGAGTAGGCATCTGGAAGGTCTCTAAAAATCAGTGATGTTAGGTCATGCATTACAGACATCCTGGGTCATGCCAAATATGCATGACAAATCTCGCAATCTCCTAGACCCAGACACTTTTACATTTGATATTGATTTACTACGCCTTCTTCATGATGGCGTTGGAGGACGAGAAAAATCAGGGGGAAGATGTTGACCCAGCGACAGCACGCGTTTTGAACTACCCAAGTGAAGCAGGACCACCAGCGGGGACTACAAGTTCCTTCCTGCAGCAAGGCGCATATTTCTTCGGCGGCGACTGGGTCGAGAAGGTGTTTGACTTTTTCTCCTCAAGTAGAACGCCGGCAGTTGATGTGCAGCAGCAAGTTCTTGAGACTGCAACTTCACCTTCCCGGAGGTTCCTCTCGGCCGAGGATGAGTCCATCTGCGCGCACATTGAGCCCTCGTTGATTTTCGGGGTGACTTGCGCAGTTGGGCTCACGAACCGGTATTTGGTTTCTTTGATCTTCGTTTTCGCGGCCCGCAACATCATCGAGCTGGCGCAGCCAATTCTGATGCAGTGGTACCGAGAGAGGGTTTTCAAGTCCGGGTTTAAAGAGACTGAGGAGGAGAAGAAGTGCGAAGCAACAGGAGGAGTAGAGCAAATGACAAATGTGCAGAATGACCACGAGTCGAGCCCCTCGATCGTCAGTCTGAAGCAGGAGAAAGAGCAAACAACTTCCGCCAAAGACCACGACGAAGACCACACGACCAGCCAGAGCGATCCGCGAAAAGCCTCCAAAGCCAGCTCGAATTCGTTGCTGGGTGCGGTGAAAACTAAATCAAGTGTAGATTCCGCAAACGACGACGATGAGGAAAATGGAAACAATTATGCGGAACAAAAGCAGAAGCAGCTATCGAAAGAAGAAATCACGCGGCAAAAACTCCAATTTACGCTCGAAACCGCCCACCGGCAAACCCTCCAAGACCCCTATGGGGAGCGGGAAATGGCCTTCGACGGCTCGATCGAGGACTTCACGGAGATTGCCGTGATGTTTGGCTTTCTCGTGCTGTTCTCCATTTCCTGTCCGCTGGTCGCGATCTTGTCCTTTCTTGCACTGGTGTGCGAAATTTTTGTGGACGACTGGAAAATTAAGTACTTGGTTCGCCGCCCGGTCCCGGTCGGCGCGGAGTTTGGGATTGGGATTTGGACCAAGGTGTTCCGCGGGATCGTTTATGCCTCCATCCCCTTCAACGCTTGCCTCTTGGTCGTCATATGGAGAGAAAAAAGTTTGTTACAGTCACTAACTTGGAGGCTTTGCATTACAAATTTTCGTAGCATCGCAGCTTTTCCTTGTGTTGCAGAAACACTAAGGGAAATCCCGTATGAAGTTTGGCTGTCATGCATTTTTACGCATGACAGGCATTTTTTGTATTGCAAAAATGCCCATGAGTGCTCGTGACGAGCTTTTTTCTTTTGATACGTCACCGCGGAGTTGTATAAATTCGAGGGCTATGGATTGCAAAAATGTCTGGGTCTGGAAGAATGCAACCTGTGATGCATGTTGCGCATCATACAAAAATCTGTGTTGCGTGACTTGCAAAAGGTGCTCATTTCTGGCCATGCTGAGGGGGCATTTCTTATGCAGAACAGGCATCACAAAGGGGCTGCAGATCCTGTGATGCTAGGTCCTGCATTCCAGACTTAGTGGAGCTTGGAAAAACTGCATGACAAATCTCGGAATCTTCCAGACCCAGACATTTTTACATTTGATACGGGCTTTCTGAAGCACCTCACGGGGGAAGATCCGAACCCCATCGCGGTGTGGTTTCTGGTCGCGTTTTTCCTCGGGATGGTGAAGATTGTCGTGGAAGCGATGCTCGCGCCCAACGACACGGAGTCGCAGGAGCAGGTGCTGAGTGCAAGGTTGCAACTGCACGTGGACAAGTTAACCTTGCCCTTGAAGTCGAAAAAATCTGACTTGACCTCGGTGGAAGAGACGACGGACTTCGTCGTGCAGCCGTGGCCCGCCGCGTAAACAGGGGCAGAACGTGCTGCGGCCGAGAAGTGAGTTTAATTCCAGTAGTAGCAGAGAACTACTCATCTGGTGTTGATGCGGAGCTGCTTCCCTGTACAGGGGCAGATTTTGTTTCGCTCTCAGTGACAAATGAAAACGAATTTATTATGATAGGCCAGCATTTGCATTATGTCAAAACAACAACGGATCATCCTCTGTGAGTTCTTCGAGGCGCTAATAAGATCAATGGATTTGCGCACCAGAGCAGGTAGAAAGAAGTAGGTTCTTATAACATGCAAAATCCTCCATTAAAGAGCATGCGCAACAAGTAGCAGCTGATGGCGATCGTATGCGAGTCATTTACGAGTGGAATTTGAACATGTTCCGCCTTTCGTGGAATATCTTGAAGATGCTGTTGAAGATGCTTTCGTGATCCAGAGAAAATTTTGAAGTTGGTTTCTCCTAGATAAGTAAGTAACTAGCAACCACCGGCGATTCTCCAAGATCCCGTCATGTTTACCGTGCCCGTGAATAAATTTCAAACTGTCACTAACCTAAAGCCGATGACAAACCGCGAAAGGGATCAAATTTTATCAGTGGCAACAAAAACAGGCATGAAAAAGAAAATGCGATGGATCATCTCATGTGACTTCTTTTCTCTTCCTCTTTTCATGGTTCAAATGAATCGATTATCTTCGCACTATTTTTAACCAGCGACCGTATTAATTAGACGAACCGAATATACTACCTTCGTTGAACAACCTTCATACGAAGTAGAAGTAGTCGCGTCAATTGGTCTGCGGAGGTGTTCGAAAGGAATTAAATCTAGCGAGTTCACAATTGTTCTTGTTCACACACGACGTGAGCCAATTGTTCTTGTTTCCATTCACTTCAAGAATTCCTCAAGTACAACTTCTACGTAGCGACAGCAATTTTTCAATCATGGAGCACACCGACGACGACCATTCCGCTCTGCGCAATGGCGGGCCCCTCCTCGGCGACGACAATCCGACCAAAATCAACACGGGCGTGGCGCCTTCGATTGTCTGCAACCTGCTCGGTATAGTGCCGCAGGAGCCCGTTCTTTCGCCACACGGATACATCTTCGAAAAGCGGGCTATCGAAACCTACTTGGAGAGCACAGGTACTTCCATATATAGGATGTTTTTTGAATGTGTTGCTTGAGAAAGCGAAAGACGGGCTGCAGAGGTGGTCTGTGGGTTGTTTGCTGCATGCGTTATTTAGATGACCTTGACCACCACCAGGACCACCTCCACGTGATGCGATTGTGACGAATCTTTCTAAATGATGCAAGTTTAAACGATATCCTCCTAATGTATAAAAACCTCTACTACTTGTTTTATCTCCAGGTAAATTCTGTCCCGTGACCCGCGAAGCGCTGAAGAAGGAGGACCTGGTTGCGATTAAGTCCGAGCGGGCGCAGGTCCCCGAGGCACCGCACCCCCACAGCATTCCCAATTTAGTGCAGTTATTGAGGAATGATTTGGACTCGATTCTGCTGGAAAATTTCTGCATCCGGAAGGAAAACAAATCGCTCAAGCAGGAACTATCCACGACGCTCTACACGGAAGACGCGGCCATCCGCCTGATGGTGAACCAACAGAGGGAAATTGACGAGTTGAAGCAGAGGAATCAGTCGCTCGTTGAGGAGATGCAGAATCTGGGACCCAAAGCCTTTACCGCGAACGGGGCGATGGTTTCCGGTAGCATGGGCAACGGGGTCCAGAAGAGTATTCCGAACTACCCAAGTAAGGACTTTTTGAGGGAGATGCAGGAGTTGGAAACGAAATTCCGCGCGGCAAGAAGGGAAAAGAAGAATAAGCAGTTCATCGAATACGAAAAGTTTGATCCGGTCGCGGCCGTGCCGCTGCACTCGACGACGGTGAAGGGCATTCGGTGCTTGGCGTTACACCCAGAACTGGAGGATATGCTCGTCACGGGAGGGGTAGACGGAACCGTGGTCGTGTTTCACAAACAAAAAAAGTCCATGGTGGACCAACTGAAGATACAGTTGAAGGTATTGATGTTCTTGTAGTAGTTTTTACTTCAGAAGTATCATGACAAAGCATATAATAGCATTTGGCTTCCGTTGTACTTCTGCGAGCTGCGAGCAGGTGACAAACTTTTTCAGGTTCTTGTGTATAATTAGCATGAGCATAATTTTGAAGATTGTATTCACCTCGTCGACCTCATGTGTATTCACTGTAAAAACCCACTACTACAGGACGCCAAGCCGATTACCGCCGTCGCTACCTACAACGATTTTATCGTGGCCGGTGGTCTGGACGGGTCGATCGGCATTTGGCGGGCAAACAACAAGGAGTGGGAACGGGGTTTCGTGAAGACCAACAGCTACCGGTTTCACCGACGGGAAATCACCAACGTGACCTTCCACCCCTGCACCTCCGACGACGTGGGGCCCTATTTTCTCGCAAGTTCCAAGGACAAGTCCTGGTCCATCGTGGATGCCAACTCCGGCGAGCTCGTCGCCCACCGCAAGCAACTCCCCAGCGAGGTGACCGCAAGCTCCTACCACCCGGGAGGCGGTTTGCTCGCGCTCGGTCGCGCGGACGGCGCGCTGGAGATCCAGCCGGTGAACGACCCAGATGCGGTCAACGAGGAGGACGAAACCTCCGACGGCGTCAACAGCATTCCGGGCACCATGTCCCTGCCCGCGGATGAGCAAGACCCGAACAGGACGGGACGAGGGATCATTTCCTGCTGCCAGTTCAACCCGAACTGTACCTCGCTGGCCGCCGCCACCAGCTCCGGCGCCGTGCAGATTTGGGACCTGCGGAAGTCGAATTTACTCCAAACCTTGGAGTTCAACGAAAACACGGTGCAGAAGATCCGGTACGACAAAACGGGCAAGTTATTGCAATGAAAAATTATGCCCCCACCCCCCAACCTGCGAGCATTTGTATTGCAAACCTTTCCAAATGAAACATTCGCCCTCTTGCATCTATCACCATCGCAGATTTCCGATCGTGAATGGCAAAAATTTGTATTGCAAAAGATCCCAGCAAGAGCGGTGCTTGTCATGCAAGCGATGCGATACGCGCCTAGACTCTGCATCAGAAAGATTCATACTCCTTTCATGCATGACAAAAAGTTTTCATTTGGAAACTTCGCATCACAAATTATTGCGCCTGCGGAGGCAAGCCTTCCCAGCGATGCCGGACAATGGCAATGTCGGTTCGGTTGTTTTAGCATCACAAATTATATGCAACATTGGGGGTGGGGGCATTTTTCACTGTAATACAAGTACCTGCTGATTTGCAGCGAGTCCGCGGTCCACATCTACGCACAGGAGTCGAAGGAAGCCGGTTTCGTGCACAAGAGAACATTGTCGGACCACAAGGACGAGGTCATGGACGCGTGGTTCGGGCCGGATGTGATCGCCAGTGTGTCCATGGACAGGCATTTAAGGCTGTACGAAAACGTGGATTTGTGAGGCGGGGATGAAGAAGTATTGTGAATAAAACTTCAGGGGTCTTGTTCACTTGAACATTTTCACACGTAGTTATAGTAGAAAGACCTCGGGGGCGGGGGGTCGTTCTTCTACTAGTGCCAACACGACTTCTCCGCGGGCGGACACATTTTTTGTCCACGAGTGTGTGGTTAGAACAAGCTCAAACTTTTTGTTTTTGAGCTTTACGGCGGGAGTATTGCGAAGGAGTGTTGATGTTGAAAGTAGTGGAACCAAGTTCATCGAAAACAAAAGGAACAGCACCCAGTCCCGAGGAACGGTCGTGGTAAGTACCTAGTTACGTGTGGCGCAGTTGTAGATTCATTGTGATCCAAATATTACTGCAGTACGGCAACTCCCGGTGAAGATGTGACAGATACATCATCACCGATTCATCTTGCGCCGCTCGTGTTCTTTTTTTGAATGTGTTTGTTTCGAATTCCAGACGACGCAGTGGTAGTTTTGAAATAGAAATAATCGAATGAAGGAGATCTTCGGTTCAAAAATATCAAGTTTTTCAGTTTGCCTGAGGGACCATATCGCGACAGCCTGACTCATCGATCATTCATGAATGTTTCACTCAGAGATTGCCATTGCTCCTTTTTCGCAAATTTTTGTGTCGAGGACCTCGAGTTTCAAATTGCAACCAAAGCGCTTCTTCGCGGTAAAAGTCGATCAACTTTTGGACGAATCTACGCAAGGTCTTTTCACCAATTCGCGTCTTTCGAGAAAAAGTTTGTTTTTGTCGACAAATTGGAAAGTATGCGACCCATGATCGATTGTGATGTAGAAACCGAAAGAAAGCAGGATCTACGACCTTTTTTCCCATTTGTGTAGTGTTTTTCCCCGACCGAACCTTTTACCCCGAAAATTTTGGTGTTGTACCCGCTTAGTTTGTTTCAATTTCTCTAGAGCAATTTTTGTTGGCGACGCTGCTCATTCATTTTTTTCTACAATACACAATGGCCGCACGATTTGTTGACGAGGTGACACAATCCCATGGGCTCCACCTGCTTCGGTTAAAGAAACTTAAAATGTCGAAGATGCCGGTTCGTGGGTAAGGAGCACTGCGAGGCGCGGCCAAGCGCCATTGCACACCAATTGCCGCAGTAGGAAGTAGGAAGAAGCAGGCATATAATATCTACTCCTTGTCAAGGCGAACGAAAGAAATGTGGGTAGCTCTGCGGAACCTCGTGCTGTGGTGCATCGTTGCACTGCTCTATGCCGTGGTGTTTTTCACATCAGTTTTTGTCTTCTTCCCCGCAAACATTTTGGTCCACCATGCCGCGGAATTGGTCTACTGGCTCGTCAGAGGTACTTATAATTTTTCAACAAAGTAGAAGCGCTGAAGATCGATGTCGATTTTTACTTTTTCCATTGCGCGAAGGAGTCTATAGTATTCAGTCGCTTTGTGTTTATACTTCAACTGTATCACAACTATCAAAACACTCCAACAGCCTGCGTCGGCGACGCTGAAGCGTTCAAAGTTTCGGAGCCCAAAATCGCCGGCACCTGGGGGTTGTGGACCGGGTTTCTGCTTTCCCTCTTCGTCTGGCACGGGTACAACGTTCTGATGGAGCACCTCCTCGCGTATCTCCTGGCTTTCTGCGCGGTCTTTCAGTTCTGCAAGATGTTCTTCTTCACCTACATTCTGCGCGTGGACTGCATCGAGAAAACGCCGAGTTTGTACACCGTGCACTTAACCGCGGAGGGGCTGTTTGACCATTTGCTCGCCATTCAGGAGTACGCGGGGTTCCTGATCTGCTTACGGCTCTTCGAGGTGGACTACACGCTGCGATTGTACTTCGGGACGCTAACCACCATGCCGCGAGACGAGTATCACGAGAACGCGATTCTGGACGAAACGACTTTGTATTTGTCCATCGCGATCTTGTTGTCCGGGATGGCCTGGGAATTCTGCGGCCGCCCCTTCTCGCTGTACGAGAGAGGGGAGCTGGATATGGTAATTTACTTCTTTGTCTTGTGTGAATTTATTCTTACATTTTCTGTCGTGTTTATTGGGTTCTCATCATGTAAGGTAAGTAAGAAAGTACCTTGGCAGGAAGTACCGGTAGAAGATGAACTACGAGGTGACAAGTTGTCAAGTACATGTCGCACCAGATCGCTCCTGGCAACATGGTGCTAGTCTTCTACTAGGATCACACTGACTACTTTTGACAAGAACAACTGTTCTGTACTCTTAGGTTTGGAATTTCCCCCACGAGCTGGTGACCGCCGGTCGAGAGTACTACCTCCCGGACGGGAAGACGAAACTGGACTACTGCTGCGCCTCGCACTCGGGCAGAGACTTGCAGGACGAGGACTGCGTGATCTGTTTGGACAGTCTGAACCAGAAAGTCCAATTCCTGGATCCCGACTACGAAAGGATGTCGTTGTCGCTGCACCGGAGAAGGCCGGAGTTGACGGTATCCTAAGTAAAACCGTCCCCACCTCACAATTGTCATGCAGACTTGCGATTACAGGAAGATTTGCAATGCGCATCTCCATAAGAGGCATTTACAGTCGTGTTTTGGAATTTGTCATGCTGTAAACAGGATAAGCAGATGGATTTGTGATGCGGTTGTCCTTGCTAACATGCACTACACTACGGACTGCAACTTGTCATGCGTGGCTCCCAAAAGTTCTGGACTTGTGTTGCTAAGTGTCCATCTTGACTCTGGGGTGGGGATGTTTTTACACAGGATAGACGGCCGCGAGACTGCGGAACCGGAAGGTGGAACACGCGGGAACCATCGTCGGCCGGTTTGAGTTATCCACTGCAAATATGTCTGGGTCGGGAAGATAATTGCGAGATTTGTTATGCTAGTCTGGCATTCCGCTGAGCTCTGTAAGTATTGCGTGGCCAGCAAGAGCTGCTCTTGTCTGTCTTGCAAGAAGGCTGTTTGTCATGCGGGTTACGCAACAAAGAGCAACGGAAAAATCTGTCATGCTTGGCGGTGCATCACAAGAATGTGCTTTCTATTCGCTGACATGCATCACAGGTTCTTTCCAGACCCAGATCGATATTTGCAATGCATATGAATCCGGGTTGCGGTCCGCCCCCAGTTGCGACCCGTACAGTGGGGACTTTGAGGCGAAGTACTTCAGTGAGGAGAATTATGCGCATAATTATAACGGGCGAACTAGAGATAATTATATGCAGCTGAGCTACAACAGGACCAGGAGTGGTTCCTCTTCCCGAAGTAGGACCCAGACAGAGGACCAACAGTTGTTCCACTACCAGAACACAAGCACCGGCGCGGCGTTGCGGCGTAGGCTGACCAACCGGGGGAACTTCCAGCAGGGCGGGTCGAGCTCCAGTACTTCCGGTCGGACGTTCGCTGGTCTTCGTGCTAACCTCAACCAGCAGCGAATAAATGACGACCAGGAAGAACTCGACAACTTCCTCGACGATGAAGCCTCGAGTACGGACTTTTCTCTGTCCAGGTTTCCCTGGGCCGCCATGCCGTGGAACTACTACATGATGAGAAGCACAACTACTTCTAGGGGCGGCAGAGGTACAACTGGTAGAACACACGTAGGTCGTGGTCTTCACGGTGATGATGATTCCGCGCCCGACCTCCTCGACCCCGGATTGGTGGCTAGACAGAACGCGTACAATTATGGCGCGGTGGTTCATCACGAAGATGACCGGTTTGACAACTATGACCGGGAAGATGAAATAGAGGATCGAGAAGATGAAATATTGAACGACGAGGACAACCTGCAAGCCGGGAGACCAATCTATGGGGACAACGATATTAACAACACAGATAATGATCCTCTGTACAACAACCGCGACGACGCTGGGATGAACAACCGAGACCAATCTTCGTCTCGTCGCGACCTCCGCGGCGACACTACCACTACCCCCTCCCTCTCTATCTACTCCGTCCGCGCTTTATTGCGCCGCGTGTTCGCAGATGGGTTGCATCTCCGTTGGCCGTCATTTCTGCGCTCCGCAGACGAGGACGTCCAGAGTCTGTACCAGGTGAGGGGGGGAAGATACCATAGTACTAATGATCTTGTTCGCAACAGCGGAAGTACTACTATTTCGGCGACAAGAACTACAAGGAATGCTCACCGTCCTTCCGGGCAAGAAGAAAGGTTAGGAGAATCCTCAATACTGCAATCGCATTCGCAAAATGACGACACGCAGCACGACATAGTTGAGGATGAGTTTGAAGAAGATCATTTTGATGAGGCGAACAACTTCTGGCTCGCCAATTACAGTGGTAGTTCAACAAACGAAGACCACAGTACTACATCTTTACAGCAGAAATACGACTTTCCGGACTTGAACCCACGAAACCAGAACTCTTTGGAGCTCGACGGCATGAGCAGCAATTTGACCCATGGGCAAAGGGCCTCCGGCGCAGCCGGGTTTCTCCGTCGGTGGCTGGAATTCCTGTTCTGCGCGGGGAGGCGGCGGACTGCTAATGGGGAAAGTGGGTCCTCGTCGGGCTACGGGTCTTTGTTCGATGACACCGACATCGCGGTAGAGCAGCAGGGAACTGCGGTCACCATTGGCATCGGACCGATAGTATCAAAAGGAAAAATCCCCCCTCCCCACATCAAAACGAAATCTCTGATGCTGGATTTGCGTACTTACACAAACGACATTTGTCACGCAGAGAGGCATTGCGGCCAGATCCCCAGGCTACATAGGGGCGTAGGGGTCTAGTTGTTCAGCATGGCAAACGGCTCCCCTTTAAGCCCAACAGCATGACAAAGCGCTTCAATAATGGGGCGGAAGCTTCTGCCCTTGTCTTCTTGCAAGACAAATGCGATTTGTGACCTCAAACCAGCAGCGCAAATTTTCGGAAACATACCTTTTCACTATGGGGAGGGGGATTTTTCCTTAGGATAAATAGAAATCACGCTCGCAAGACAGCTGCCGGTGGGCGGAGCAGATGATGAGGGGGGTGCTGCTAGTGCTACTGGTCAGGGTGCGGCAGCAGGGGGCTCGGGTTCGAATGTCTCAGGAACATCAACGGCAGGAGTTGTGGCCCCCGCTGGAGCTTCTTCCGGCATAATGCCACCAGGAGGTGGAGCATCAGCACCATTCATCGGCGGCGAAGACGATCTGGACCACCCTCTTCTGCCCACCGTTGTCGGGAATCCGGCGAGTGGTAGTGGCACAAGTGGAGGCACAACTGCCTCAGCAAGTTCGTCCAGCAGTTCAGCTGGACCGCTGCAGAATTTGCGCAACTACATGCTCGACGGTGGTTCATCGCGGAACCGCTTCTCGACGTCCACAGCATCCGGAGCTGCAACCTCAGCACGCAACTTGTCCATTGGTCTGGAATTCTCTGACAACAATTCCGTTCACCTCCCTTCCGGCTGGTACGAAGACAACGACACCGGGCATTTCGCCACCAGCGGACAAAAAAGACGCAGGATGGCAGGGAGTAGTAACAGGAATTATGATCAGAGCACGAGTAGTACTGGTGCAGCAGCAGCATCGGGCGGTGGATCCTCCAGTGCTAGAAGAGGTGCCGGTCGATCCTCCAACAATCCGTCGGATAATTTTTACCCTCCTGAGGACGACTACTACAACGATGACGAACCCTCCAGCGCCGACGAACAACAGCACCTGTCCGCGAAGCAGTACCATACGAAACAGCAGTACAAGCAGCACAAGAACGTGCGGCTGCCGTGCAAACACGTGTTTCACTCGGACTGCTTGAAGAACTGGATCTCCACCAGCCGGAACGAGCAGCACCTGATTTTCTCCGGCGCGCCCCCGGGCGCGACCTGCCCCACCTGCCGGCACCGGCTGTCCTGGAGTGACATTTCCGTCGAAACGGTGGACCAACTGCTGGGCTGGGGCTTCGTCATGCTGTTTGTCTTGCTCCTGAGCTTCCCCGTCTTGCACGTGCTGCAGCGGGTGTGGAATTTGTGTACGCTGGGTTTTTCCGTGATGCTGGAGAAGTGGCTCAGCTGGATTTTGACTTCCACCGCCGGCGCCGGGTCGGCGAACGGCCCCTTCTTGTACAAGTGGTTTCTCATTCACAACTCGGCGACAACCTTTGTATCCGGCTCCGCAACGTTGGTGTTCAGCAAGGATGATTTGCCGCTGAATCTGATCGCGGAACTGTCCGCACGCACACACCTCGTGCACGATTTCGTGCGGCACTTCGCGGCCTCGGTGATTGTCTTCGATTTTGCGTCGATCTACACGGAGTGGCGAAAGCTAAGGCAGTTCTTCACGAACGAGGATAGTGGTTCATCTTCTGGTGGGGCTAGCAGTAGTGCTGGGAATAATGGAGAGGACTTGGACCACATATTGAGACAAGCCGCGGACCACTCTAGCACTGCGGAGCAGGCTGTTCAGCCAGGCACCACTGAAGCTAACGAGACGCCGCTTGCAACTACTGCCTCGCAAGAGCAGGGTGGTGATGTTCATCTTGCAACCTCCGGAGGTGCAGCAGCAGCAGAAACATCTCCGAGCAACAATTCATCTGCGGAAATACAGAAGGAAACATCAATAACTGCCACGGCGGAAAGTAGAGCACTGCAGCCAGCTGCTGCTGCCCTTGAAGTCGATGACGACAATCTTTCCAACAGATCCGCAGAGCTGCAAATAGAACATCCATCGAACACAACTACCTCCACCACCACCAACTCCACCCTCCGCCCCCCGCTGCACTACGGCATTAAGAAGATCCCGTACTGGCGGCTGAGCCAGATTTCCGAGGGTAAGGGAAAGTTCCTCTACGACGTGATGCGGTCGGCGCAGCACTTCACCGGCGTGCGCGCGGCCAGCGCCAAACAGGTGGACAAAATCCGGCGCGCCATCGAGCCGCAGGGCACGGTCTTGATCGGCGCGAATAGCGTCGGGGAGGGAGCGGAAAATGCGAAAAAACCGTTTTTCGCCTTCGGAAAAAACGCACACATAGCGGAAAACAAACCGTCGCTGGCGTTACCGGTCGTGAAAGATCCAAAGTTCGCCACGGCAGCGGACAAGCAACTACTCCTGGAGTTTAAAGTGCGCCAACTCGGCTGGCTGGCGGGAAATGTGGACGTAGATAATGCGGCTGGGAATAGAAATGCGACGAGCAATTCTACAAGTAGTTCTTTGGCGGCTCGTAATAGAAATGGAACGGCAAAAATTGTATCAGAATCGTCGGAAACCTCGAACTTAACCAATGCGACATCAGCCGCCGCAGTTCCTCCGGAGGTTTTAGAAATCGACTTGAGCCCCTTCGCCTTATTCCGGCTCGTGTTCAATCTTTGCTCTGCCCTCCTCCGGTTGCCCGGCACGGTGATTTTGAGACTCTCCCGACACGTCGGGGCGCTCGCGTACGCCGCTGCGCTGAACACGGGCAAGCAGTTTGACAGTCTGGCGCGGGTGGTCCAGAAGTACGTCGCGCCGCACGTGAAGTACGTGCTGAGCGACAAGTTGCAGCTGGACAGAATTTTCGGCTACTTTCTGCGCCTGACGTATTTGGATGTAGTTTTGGAGAAAACTTTAACCTTCTGCAGTGAGAAGATTTTCCTCCCGGTTTTTGACGGCGTGAAGGTCAGCTTTGACTACTTCTTTTCCAGTCCCGCTACGGACCAGGCTGGTGCTGCGGCAGGAAGTGCAGCAAGTGCTTCCTCCTCCAGGACTGCGGCGGAGCATGAGCAAAAGTCCAGTGGCAGCGACGGAGCAGCCGGGAGCAGGACGAAAGCGACGCAATATGAGAAAAACCATACTGCGATCAGAAATTTCGCGGAGAAACACCGAGCGACAGCTAGTGAGAATGATTCTACTTCTGCGACAGTAGAACAAACTACAACAGGGCAGTCACCCTCTGCTGTCGAGCAAGCAGGATCTGAAGGTGAAGCAGGAGCGAATGACACCACTACCACAGGAACCTCGAAAAATCCTGGCGGGACCACGACGGAACAAGCAAGAGCGAGTCAAAAGTCCATAAAGCGAGTTCTTGAAACTACTACACAAAATAAGCAGAAGGAAACCGACGGAACGGGGTACCCTTTTGTTGACAAGTTGCTCTCCGAGAGGGAGCAGGTGAAGCAGGAGCTTTTTTCGAGTCTGGTCGGGGGAAACGAGACCACGGCGTCCACATCTTCTCGTGCTGTTGAACAGCAGGTCACTGCTGCAGAAGGAACAACAGGTCACAACGGAGCGGCAAGGAGCGTGGCCAATTTGCGCAATACTTCTGAGGAAAACACGCGTGGATCAAGAACTACACGGATATCTTCAGAGGTTAACAACCAATTGCAAAAAGGAGAACGAGAAAGCTCTTCTACTTCCCCCGAGAAGATGAAGCTGGTGCCTCCAGAGGAAGAAACAAGAGCCAAGAAGAACACAACTACCGACGCTGATAAAAATTCGCCTGCCCCTGAAGCAGCAGATGCGAGTCCTTCTCCCTCGCAAGAAGATGAACGTCTGGAGCACCACTCCGCTCAGAAAATGCTCAAGTCGATGATTCACGACAGCAAGCTCCGCCACGCAATGGAGACCGCGATCCGGGGCTACATTGCCGACGGTGACACGGCGGTGGTGTCGTTTTCGTTCCCCGTGGCAAAACGGCTGGAGCAGTTAGAACACGAGTACCGGGAAAAATACGGGCACTCGGTATCCAACTGGGTGAACACCAGAAGCTTGACGGACAAAACCGCGACCGCCGAGCAGGAGCTGGAGCAGAGAAGCGAGTTCGCGAAGAAGCAGGAGAAGGCGGAAGTGACGTCCCAGTTTGCGGAGGAGATCGTTTCGAAACTGGACTTATCAAATGTAAAAATGTCTGGGTCTGGAAACTTGTGATGCTGGGCGGCGTCTCATGATGAGGCTACAAATGCTGGCTCAGCATGACAAGTTTCTGAGCTCCTACCCTAGGTGTTGCCTATTCTGCATGACAAACTGCGTTTCTGCATCGCAGAAAAATGGAGCTCTTGGGTAACGTGCATGACAGATTTAAGAGTCATGCCAGACAAGCATGACAAACATGCATTCTTCCAGACCCAGACATTTTTACAATCCATAGGACTCCTTCGTGGAGGCCGAGTTCGCGCTGCGGAGCGGCAGTCGGGTCGTGAAGCTATTAGCGGAGAACGTCGGGAGAAGGCGGTTGGAAGAGTTGGAAGCGAGGTTGCAGGTGTGCGGAAATTATTTGCTGGAAAGTCAGGAAAGCGGTAGGTTTGGTATTCAGCAAGGAGATCAAGTAGAAGCTGCCGCGGGAAGAAGTGGAACAAGTAGAACTAGTAGTCCACGAGCCGCAAAAGCAGAAGGAGGTAACGGAAATAGCGAGGAGATCTTTCTCGAGGCAGGAGACAACGTAGACGGTGTTGCTACAAGTAGTGCTACTTTCATCATTTCCGACATAATTGAAGGGGGGGCGTCGACAACGTCAAGAACTGGGCGGAAAGATAGACACGACCCGGATGTTGAAATGTTTCCCGAAGAAGAGCCGCAGGAGGGAGAGGATGAAACCGCGAGAATTACTTTGTCGCTCCCTTCCTGCAAAGATCTGCTCGAGAACTATTTTGACGGAAGTAATGTTGCATCAAACAACGGGGAGATGAACGTGAACCAGCATGGTACAAAACCAGCACGGCCGCAAGAACTGCGCACTGCGCACGAGGAAATCGGGACGAAACTACTGCTCGACGCGGAACTGGATCTGCGGAAAATTGCGTTCAAATTCGTTGATTTTTTACTGTCTCCGAGTCTGCTATTACTGCAGAAGGGTCAACATCAAGGAAAGCGAGCAGATTTGTTTCATGGACGAGGCGAGGACCACTACCAGGCAGATCGCCAGCGCTCTTTTCAACAACATCAGGCTGTTTCAAACTACCTCCTCCGCGAGATTTTCTTTCCCGCCCTGGAACTGCCGAAGGAGTTGTACGGAAGCGATTCCGCACCGGAATTCGCCATGCTGGACGCGCTCGTTGGTCAAGCTCGGAGGTTGGCGTTCCACCACGGCAGAGCTTCCACCTCGTCGTGGGAGAAAATGCAACAGCATCAAGTTAGAACCCGCCTCGCCGACTACGTGGAGCAAGTTATTGCCACGCACACAACTGTAACAACGTCAACATCTACTTCCGGGGGCGCTACTAGTGCGGTGGCTGGCGAGATGTTGAGTGCTGGTAGTGAAGACCCTGCTTATGGTGTGGAACTCGCGGTCGAGGTGTAAGGGATGAGCTTCTGGTGCTAACGGACGTGCTGAATGCGCCGTCACAAGGGGGGATTTATTGTTTCGGTTCACCATAACATCTACTGCAAGAACCTCGTGGGGAGCTTTATATATGCCGTGGCACCGCTCTGGCACATGTTGACCTGCTTCAACATCTACAGCTCTGTCTTGCATCTCACGGTTGAACTTTTTTTTCGCGACAGCCCAAGATTTATTTTGATCAATGATTATTTTATAGACTTACACCCATGGCGTCGATGACGTAATATAATAAAATGTTGCTCTTAAGAACATAGATGTTCTGCGGCCGCGGATAGTATGCCAGGTAGCGGAGTTGTTGTTCCGCAGTGGAGTTCTTGCTGGGTTCTTTGTTGCAAGGCAACGGAGGCACAGAAGTGTCAGAAACGGACACAAATTTTTAAAAAAGCACATCACCGTCTTCAATAACATCGATTTGTTGCCCTCTTTGTGTAGTTCTTCTGACAGTTCGGTCACAGACAAATTCGGACAAAATCGGTGGGGAGTAAGGTCTGCAATTTAGAGTAGGTTCTAATCTTTGAGGTGGACCTCCTGTCGCTGTCTGTATCTAGTAGGTACTTATGATTCATTTGGCCTACGAGACAAGAATCAGATGAAATTCATTTGTTGTGGGTCGTAGTCGTGTTTTTCTGAAGTGCGTGGGGGGAAAATGTGAGGAAAAGCTGCATTATCAAATTCAAAACTGAAGAAATAGATTTACTCATCCAATTCTGGCGTACTAACGTTTCCTGGTGGTCCGTGTGCATCTCAGGAGGCTTCTCTGTATTCGACATCTGCCGTCACAACCACACAGCTTTTTTTTTTGGTAAATTATTTGTACGAAAAAGTTGGGGAAAATAAAGATCGATTGACAAGAAATTAATCTCGTTTGATATTCTGTTGCACCGAAGATCGAAATACCGTATTGGAGGTATTGGAGCAATTATCACTGCGTCGTCCGAGAGCCTCCGCAATCGAGGACCATGCCAGCCTCCCCGGGAAGGCACTCGCCTTCCCGGGGCCCGCGGGAAGGCGATTTCAAAGCCGGGCCGGTATGTGGGGGGCGGGTGCTGCAGCCCAAGGAGGACTTCACGGTCAAGGAGATCGCGATTCCCACGTCCATGCAGAAAACCTTGATCTTCGTGGTCGACTTGTCCGATGCAAAATTGATGGACCCGGAGCTGAAATCCCTGGACGACATGAAGGACGACTTGATTGACGCCATGGGAGTTGCGAGCAGCAAAAAGGAATTCGAAGTCATTCTCGCCGGGTACGAGGGGCACGAGCGCTGCGAGATCGTGGACACGCAGACTTTGCAGGGATTCTTTGAGCGAATGGAAATTTCCAAGGAAGACGACAGCATGAACGCCCTGTTTTCCTCCGCCAATCAGGACGGGAAAGGCGAGAAACTGAACGCGGACCAGGTGTACGGTCCGAATCCGGCACACAACAACGACCCGGCCAAGAAGGCAGCGCTGGAAAAGGACTACCCTAAGCACAAGTCCGACGCGCTCGACGAGTTGGTCGTTACCAAGGAGCAGCTGGCGGAGCTGCGACTGGGCTCGGTGATCACGAAGATCCAGATGCAGAAGTTTCTGAAGCGGTTACTCCAGATCCAGAAGGACTCGCTGCAAATGAACTTCGAGAAAGACACGCTGCGACACGCGCTGCAGCAGTCCGAAGAAAAGGTGGATGTGCAGAAGGAATTGGTCGTGCAGGAGCAAGAGAAGTACTTCGCCCTGGAATCGTCCATCGAGGAACGGGTTTTGGGCGCGATTGCGGAGGCACGAACGGTGTTCGAGCAGGACAAGCAAAAGGAGATGCAGAAGCAGCGAGACGACCTGCAAGCCAAATTTAACCGGGAGCAAGACCAGATGCTCGCGGAGGCGGAGCGAAAGCTGAAGGAGTGTGCGGCACCGCTGGAAGCCAAAATTGCCGAGTTGGACACTGCCCTTCAATTGTTCTACTATTAGTGCCTTTCTTGCCATGTCTAGACGTGCTTCACTTCTGAGTCATGTTAACGCAATTTGTCAGGCGGCCCTATCAGGTTTCAGTAGCACTGTACTGCTAGTTCAACTTCGTGTTTTGTCTCTCCTCAAGAAAAAAAGAAAACTGTATTAAGCACTTTGGTAAATAAGAGTCGAAATACTTACACAGGCAAGCGGAATCGCTGAAAACCGCGGAGGCAGAGCTGAAAGCGTCGATATGCATTGCAAATATCGATCTGGGTCTGGAAGGCTGCAGCTGCAACTTGTGATGCCGCTTGTCGGATTCGAAAAAATAAAAATCTGTATTGCATGACCTCCAGCAAAAGAACAAGTCCAGTTTGGGCTACGCGGTGAGGGCATTTCTCATGCGGAATAGGCATCAGGAAGCCGAAGCCGGCTAAAAATCTAAGTATGATGCGACGCCAACATCACAGACACCAGGGGTCATGTAAAACGTGCATGGCAAGCGTTGCACCATTTTTCAGAGGACCCAGACATATTTCCATTTGATAGTCGAAGGACGGGGTAGAAAAGATGACGAAGGAGCTGGAGGTGGTGAAAAGCGAGAAAGCCACCGTCGAAAACCAGTTGAAGTTGCTGGAGTCCGAGTTGGGGGCAGCACGAGGTAAGTACGTACTAGATGATGGCTGCGAGACTTTTGTTCGTTTTGATGTCAACATCCCTGTACGCGGTGCGTTTTGTCTTTGTGCACACTATAGATATCTCCTAAAGCAGATATAAAACAATAAGTACTTGCAACTGGTGACTCTGACAAGATGCTTGCTTCTGTGAGAAAAGACTTTCGGCGTGAAAGATTTATTTAGAGTCTTACAGTTTTCAACCTGTAGTCGATATTAAAAACTTGAAACGATATGGTCAATGGTTTGCCATTCCAGCAGACGCGTCTGAAATACGTCGGAAAAACTACACCCACTGAAATTGTGTTGGACGACAAAATTACTTCCAATCTTTTTTGTTTCGCAAAAAAAGAGGCACACGCAAATTAATTGATAAAAGGCCTAGACTCATCATTCAGTACTTGCAGCACCTGCGGCGGCGGCTCGTCTCCTCTCGGCGCTCCTAATGCTGGCTCTTGGCGCGGTTTTTTTGTACTCTTGGAAAATTTTTCATTTTTTACTCTGCCATCACATGTTTTTTTTTCTGCGAAGCCGATTCTCTTTCCCATTAGCCGCTTCGCGCACCACACTTTTTGTCTGCCTACTGACCCCGTTTATTTCACAATGCGATGACACAGCTCGTCCATTTCTTCTCGCCCGGAAAATTCTTGGTTCAAAAGTTTCCCTTGCCACCTGGCCGCGCTCACCTCTTCGCAGTTTCGTTTCAACTACTATTTTTGGAATCAGAATCGGACTCAGAGGATGAAAAAACTACAACTGCCCCATGATCAGATCGCGGAGATCTTATTCTTCCATTTCGCTCGTCCTGTCAAGTTGCTTGCCCGGGTATGCAAATGCAGCAGACGATTTATTTACTCCTCTGGTTTTGCTAAGCATTTTTAGATTTAAATTTATGCAGCTGTGCCCCAACTACAGATCGATGATGAAGCTATTTGGCAGGAGCGCCACCAGCAGACCGAGGGAGCCAGCCGCCACGCTTGATTCACGCAGCTGCTGTTTTCCTATTCCCGTAGGAATTTTCGTCGAGTTTCGCCGTTCCTTTAAAGATGCTGCATGTCCTACTACCCAACTCGCACTGCCACGATGGGACGCTACTCCGTCTCTTGCCTGCCTGTCACCGGCTCCTGTTTCTTGTGCAACTTCAAAAATCTGCTAGTGAATAAAGCTATGACTGGGCGGGACTTTGGTTTTTTCGGCGCTGCTGTGTCTGCTGGAATGCGCTACTGTGCAGCTTCATGTTAGAATAAAAGCATGTGCTAACAAACTTTAGCAACTAGAATTACTTCTAAGTTGTGTAAGAGTACACTTCTCCACCTCGTTGTCTTCCACATCTTTTTCGTCTCGGCGACCTAGCTGTACTTTCCCTACTTGCGCCAATTTTCCACATTATAGACTCGCTGGCGCAGTTGCAGGCAAAAGTCGATAAGCAACTCGCAGAAGCCAATGGTATTCTACGTTTAAGGCAGCTAGTGCTAGTGTCTTGCTTCGTAGCGTTTGTCACCCAGCACCAAAAAGCCTTAGCACAGGATGATCTCCGCGATTGTCATGTTGTTACTTACGTAGATTGCTAAATAGCGCGTTTAGAAGTACTAGTAGAGTACAACTAGCCTGCTGTAAAAAAGATTCAGATTCTCGAATTCCAATGACTCTGACAGAGTACGCAGGAAAAAAAGCGCGTGATAGAACGTTTCTTTCCACAAGGGAGTAAAAAGACACCGTCATGATCTGCTCATGCGCCGCGTGACACCGAGATTTGCTCTTTGGTCGTTTGCATGCAGAGCTAGTACAACTACTGCATACCCTGAAACTATTTCGTGTAGAAACTAGACAACAGTACGTGTCTGAAGATCTGATTCCTGTGTGGCTAGTCATAGGGGCTATGTAGTATTTTTTGCGTAAAAATACACCTACGAAGAAGTTGGTTCTTACATCACCGCGCTTTTTTTCTTGGATACTGAGAAAGCCGCTGCCGCAGAGTCTGCCGCCGCTGCGAAGCTTGCTGGTACTGTCGTTTGCTTCGATCGTTTTTCCTGTGTCTCTTTTTTTGTCGCGTGGACTGCTGGCGACACTGACTGCAACAGAAATTTTTCTCCTGCAGACAGCCTCACCGCAGGACAAGCTCTCTTCTTAAACGTAGAAAGTCAGACTCCTAGACTCTCGACGGCGCCTTAGCGCTAGCCTCACGCATCACAAATCACGCTTTCGATCCCGTTTTACAACTACGCATCGCAAGTTTCCAGTTTATTCCAATCACACTAAAGCCGCCGAAGAAAAGAAGAAGCGGGAGGAGGAGCGCCGAGAGCGGGAGGCCGCCGGTTCGTTTGTTTTTTCCAAAAGTTTTCTTCGCCTTCTCTATATCCAATCTGTACACACGACTGCTTTGACGAGTTCTTGTTGTTTCCCTAGACCAAATCTGTCGCTGCATTTCGTCGCAGGACGCTGCAGCGTCGTGTCCTGTCGACGCTGATGCAATCAGCCCTTGTTTTGCGTCGATTGTATCAATCTTTTGTTTCTCTTATTCCACAGCCGCCAAGGCCGCAGAGGAGCGCAAGAGGCAAGCCGAGGAGGCCGAGCTGCAGCGTATTTTTCTTTCTTATTAGAAGATTTTCAGTTTATTAGCGGGAGCGCTGACTAGAACTTAAGTTACGCACGATGACAATATATAAAGTGGCGAGCGCGAGTGCATGCAGGTGTTGCATGACAAGGAACTCTTCATGAAAGACCGATGAAAATAAACAGGTAAGCAAGCGGAGGAGCTGGCGAAATTAAAAGAAGACATGGAGGTGCTCGCTAAGTCGTTATGTCATTGGAAAAAAAGGAGTGTAACAACGATTTTTGCAGCCCGCCTTTCTCCATGTGAGGAGGGACAGCAGTGCGTTTGTTTTTTGTCATGCGACTATCAGAAGTACGCATGCCAGTGCGTCTCCCTCTCCTTCTTCTATTTGTATGATTACAACCGGTGCATGTGCAGAAGTAGCAAGTAAGGACGATAGATTCACTGTTGTTTTTCGCTTCTTTTTTTTTGTCGCATACTTGCTTGAAGAGGCCTACAGGATATTCGACGACTACGGCATACCAATCCCCGGCAGGACGACGCAAGGCCACGACGCGCGGACGTTTAAATGGAAAATCACGAAGCTCGAGGAAAAAATCGCGGATTACGCAAAGGACCGTCCGTATGGGAGTGTCAGGTTTGAAATCGTCAAAGTTGAAATAATTTGTAATGCATAAAATGCATGACCCGAGGCACGTGTGTTGCAGAGCAGGCAAGGGAGGCCGATTGTAAGCCTGTTTGTGGTTACAGCTCGAGCTGCTAAAGTAGCATGAGAAAATCGCTCTTCTTTGCCTAAACAGCATGACAAACTAGACTTAGGGACCACCGAGATTTGTCATGCGCCAGTTGGAAACTGGGTTCCAACTGGCATCCATTCTATGCATGACAAATCATTTCAACTTCGTCGATTTCAACTCTGACACATCCATAGTCCGTGCATGAGTCAGGAGTTCACCCTCTGGGGGCTGCGGGGCATGCAGGTGGAGTGGTACCCAAACGGCGTGGAGAACTCGTTCCCCGGCTGGTCCGCGGTCAAACTGAGGATTCCAACCATGCAGAGCAGGTGCAAAGTCTCGGTCAAGTGGAGGGTCATATTTGGCAACAACTTGTGGGTACAGAGTGAGCTTGTTGTTTCACGACGATTTGTCACGGACAAATGTGTAGTACATGTTTGTACTAGTACTGGTCCTGCTGTTGACTGTATAGTACTTACCCGTTAATATCCGCATGCTGTTGACAAAAATTATGTACCATCAAACACGACCCAGGTCGGCCCCCGCACAGACGAATTCTGCGAGCAATACTGGTGGTGCCGAAAGGGCGTCATAAACTGGCCCAACTTCGTGAAAACAGAGCTTTTGAAGCAGCAGATAGACGAGAAAGGAGCAATCACCATGACGATCGATATCATCAAAGCCACCATCACTCCGGTGGACGAGCGGGGAATTGCCCTGTCCGGCCTCCCAAAACGCATGCCGCAAGTGCTTGGTACTGTTTTTTTGATTTCATTATCGTTTCTCTTATAAGTGTGCAATAAAAATAATGCAATAGATACTTCTGCCAACGCCAAGTGAGTTGTTTGATAAGACTTGGTTGTTGCACAAATAAAGACGATGTTTATTCAAAAAAGGAACTCTTCAACAACAATGTTCTATCTACAGCAACGCAATCCGCCGCACAGCTGCACAGTATTGCACTTGGTGGCGGTTTCAATAGTGTGCAAAGCAAGACCGAGCTCGCCGACTACGACATACAGCTGATTATCTGCGGCGAACCGTTTGACGACCCGCAGCTCTTCAACTTAATCAAGCGATACATCAAGCAGACCCACTTGGCAATCGATAACAACGTCCACGGCATCAGCTCCAAGAACCTGGACTCACCACGGTATACTACAAAAATAGTATTGTTTTTTTTTTTCGACGAATACGTGTTTGTCGTGGTCCGTTGGCTCGGTTTTTATATTGCACGACGAAACACATGAGCGGTTGATTCGGGTACTTTCAAAAAAAAATGATATGTGAGAATAGAGGTGGAGAAACATCAAAAGAAAAACAAATGATATATGCATGTTGAAGAGGACTACAAACAACACCCGCCAGACTACATAGAAACTTCTCCACTGTCCTATGATTTGATACGCTAGGTATAACAGCAGCCCATGCACGTTGAGACCGCGCACCTCGCAATCGCCGGCGGGGAGTTCCGCGAGCCGACCCAGGACGCAGGGGGGAAACGCGAGCTTGGCCTGGGCGAGCAGTCCAACGCAGCTGAGAAACAGCGGAAACTCGCTGATGCAGAGCCCGACGCAGCGACCGGGGACTAGTGCGGGGACCATGCTGTTACCCTCCATGGACAACTCGAGACACAACCAGAGCACCATGTCCGGTACGATAAGCAACCGGGACGAGTTTTTCTCGCCGCTGAGCAACCCAAATTCCACCCAGTTCTTCGATCAGTCCTCCGGATTTCCCAGCCTGGACGCGTCACCCGCTCGGAAACGGATGGGCGGGCTCCCGTTGAGTCCGACACGGTCGCCGAAGAGACACTGAGTGCGGCAGTATCGTAAGGAAAAATGCCCCCACCCCCGAACTTGAAAGGATTTGTATTGCAAACCTTTCCAAATGAAACACTCGCCCTCTTGCATCTATCAGCATCACAAATTTCCCATGCTGAATAGCGAAAATTTGTGATGCAAAGGAGCCCAACAACAGGCGGATCCCTGATGCAACAGATACCTTGCGCACCTAGATTCTGCATCAGAAATGCTTGCGCTCCTTTCATGCAAGACAAAAACCTTTCATTTGGAAACTTTGCATGAGAAACTTTTGCGAATTCGGGGGTGGGGGCACTTTTCATTGTAATAGGCAGAGAGGTGGACGGCGGGAAGATTAAGTATACCAGTACAGTATCCTATCCGGATAAAAAATTCCGGGACGAAGGAAAACAGGATATAATCCATCAGCATTGAGCCGAATCATGTTGTACTTGGTCAGTACACGTCGACGTTATGCTTGCTGGTATCAGAAATGAATCGAAATGGAAAAGCTAATGGACTACAGTATCAAGTTTCATCTTTGGACATCAAACATTGTTTGACAAGAATATAAGAGTTGAGTTACAGTACGGACAATCATCGAGTTATTTTCCCGGTACAGACTTGTAAAATTAGGATTTTTGTGGTCACGCTTTGCTTTATAGCACAAAATGGTTGGTCTTGGTGTAGGAAGAATGCCATAGTATGTGTAGCAGACAAAAGACATGTAGGAATGCCTGCACATGGACATGCGGCAGCATCGCACGGCTCCTACATGTCAATGGATATTATTACCATAGTATGATGTGTGCACTTGTACAATTCCCCGACTACATGCAGAGCAACATGAACATACCTGTACCGATACACAAATAAAAATGACGGCTCCACAGGTCCTCGCCGAACTCGAAGTAGTTCTCTGTGCTGTTACATACAGTCTGCACCCGTGTGAGTACTTTTTAGCAGCACCACCGTCTTTTCGAGAATTTTTATGGACTGGCACGCCGTGCGTGCGGCGCAGCAGGTATAGCAGTAGAACAACTAAGTGAGTTGATGGAGTAGAGGTAGACACGAGATCACACTTTAGTACTAGTCATCGCGACGTCGATCAGGAGGGAAGAACATATAGACATGTTTCCTTTACAAAGGTCCAGGTCATTTTTTACAAGAGATCTTCTTCACGTGATCCCTCGCTTTGGATTTTATTTCATTTTGATCTGGATAGTAGTAGCACCTGCCAAAGCAAAGTCTTTTTCTTTTCTCCAAGGAGGGATCAAGTACGACCTTGATCACTTTTTCGAGTGCAACGAGAGTCAGAGTTGTAGTGGTGCAAAAATTCTGATTCATTTTCCTACGGTCAAGATACCGTTCCCGTGGCTCTTGAAGAGTAAAGGAAGATGGTGCACAAGAAGTACTAGTACTACGTACTCGTAGTACCTACTGCACGACGACCGTTGTCCAGGGGTTAGAAGCTGCTGCAACAGCAGTGGTTGCTTCTCCACCAACATCACTTGTTGCGCTCGCGACGGCGCCACTGTACAATTGCACCTACGTCGTGCTCTTCAACAAGCAGCCATGTTTCTCGTGTTGGAAATTTCCGCCAACCCCACGCGAAGCACCAGCATCGATGGACTGGAGAACCCGCTACGGAATTTGGTTTTTGAGAGCGAAAGCGCGGCGAAAACGTTTATACAAGAAGAGCAGAAGTGCACGCATTTACTCTACAGCCCCTTTCTCGAAGAATTGTGGGAGAACCCAAAGGCGGAGCTCTGGCTGGACATGGCGCTCGCCACGAAAGCGGTACCGGACACGTGCGAACTATGCACTGCGAATATGATTTTTGGCGTGTGTTTGGCGATTACGTGCAGACCATTACTGTCTCTAGTTTACTTATCCGGATTTCAATTTCTAAATGTGTGTGAGAGAAAAGTACTATTTGTATTTCCAGGACCGTTCTTGGGGTGTCATGTTTTATAATGCGACGTGCTGTGCGATTCCCCCAATCATGCAAGCTTCTACTAGTATTTGCATTGCATATAGAAGCTGCGATTGCGAGAAAGGAGAGGAGAAGCACGTGGCGAAGCAAGGTACTATACTTCGCCTGTTTTCTTGCTCAGATAACTCGTTTCCCTGTTAAACTAGAAACTCATTGAGTATGTTCAGAAATGTTGTTCATCGGCGTTCGACCCTAGAAGATGAGAATACAACATCAAAACCAAACACAGACGACGTGAACAGCGCGGCGGTGGTGCTCACGAAGGATTTTGCGACAGGGCAGAGTGCGTTCGACCCCTCAGCAAGCGGTGGAAAAAAGGAGTTGCGCGGAAAGGCTTTCCTGCTCCTTCCTGGAGCACAGGCCGCGAATGCGTCGTGCTGCCCGAGTGCAAACCGCGTGAAGGGCGTGTTGGCGTTTATCAAGGAGATCCTGCCGTACTTCGACGGGGCTAGCGGCATGTCGAGGAGGGAGCGGGACGAGCTCGTGCAGGAGGAAATTGAAAAGTACGCAATAGAATAGAATTTTGTGGCAGCGGACGCGGCGAGAAGCCAGTAGGACTTATCACGGCGCGACAAAATATCTAAGTTATATTTGTCCTCGTCCTGGAGAGGGTCAAGGTTCTTCAAGGTTGTGCATGCAAGAACTGTGGTCATCTGCATAAGTACAGTACTACGCAGGAACAACGATTCTTTCAAAAGAGCATCAGCAGCACTACATGCTTTTTTCTATGCTAGCGAAGATCTTAAATCATGCCCCGCCGCCGGCACCAACAATTGCCCGACTTGCATACCAGCTACAAGGCAGGGGTGTGGCAGCCGCAAGAGACGGAGTTTGAAAAGGCAGTGGATATCTACGAAACAGCGGATCAAGTACTAAGCACTGGTGTGGTAGAGAAAATAAATGCTGCTTTGTGAATGAAAGAAAGAGAAAAATTATGAAAAATAGGAAGAAATAAAAAATAAAGCGTTGCAGTATCGCAAAAGTTTTATCACGTTGCAAAGGCCTTCTTGTTGATTTGGCCTGATTACGAATCGTGATTTGAGGCCGCAGATGAATGTGTTCAACGAGGAACGTCAAAGTTCGTCAACAAGAAAGAGATCTAAGGACACGTTTTGTCAGCAATATGTTTTGACAACGGCCTGCAATTGGGATCTGCTTTTGCAAGCGGTAAAAAAATTCAGATTTATTGAATTCAGTTCCAGAATCAATGTTGCACTAGCTACTCGACGACCTGTATGAGAAAAGAAAAACAGAAGAACAAGTTTAAGAGCGGCGTGACTTGTTGCGCGTTCCGATCCAAAATCTGTATCAACGGTAAAAGACACGTTCGGTTTGAAGAGGTCCTTTTTTTTGGCGCAGGCATTGAGATTGCTCACTCTCGAAACGAATAAATAGAGACCTCGTTTCAGCACTCAAGTACCTACTTTCGAAGTAGAAGGAGGCTAGCGAAGTTCACATCAATCGAATCTTAGTCAGGACTCGGAAGTAGACGGACCTCATCTAAGTAGCTGCATTTCCCAATAGCTCTGCTTATTTCATCCTCCTCCCAGTGGCAGTGACTTGATCACAAACCCGATTGCTACTTACGAAGATCTCCTGACCTCCGTCTACCCTAGCGACACTATTTCACTTCGTACTCGTTTTGACTATTCGACCCACCTCCTCGTTTTGAGTATTCAATCAACGACCCTGATTTTCTGCTACCACAACGACTCTCTCAGTGTCTATTTTTCCATACTTCGATTTATTTTAGATTGTTCCTGAACAATTTGAAAACACATTTCATAGTACAACCTCTAAGTATGTCCCTCGCAAGCAGAGCAGTCAGCGCGCTCGGTCGCGGGCGTTCGTCTGCCAGCTCGACCGCCGGGAGACTGCTGTCGTCTTCTGGAGCCGCAGCAGGATCGGCTTGCAGACACGTCAGTTCTCAGACTAGTAATCCAAACAAGGTCCTCGGACGAGATGCAAATGGTGGTGCATCAGCGACGAGCAATAATGTTGCCCTGGTGGGTCGTGGAGATTCTGCTTTTGGTGCAGCAACAGGAACAGCAGGGCCAACGAGAACTCATTTTCACAGCAGGATGATGAGCACCAGTAGTGGACTAGTTGGAGCAGCAAGAGGAGCAAAACTGACCTCCTCGAGCACTGCATTTCAGCGCAGCAGTAGCGGCGCCAGCCATTTACTTCACCCTTCAAATAACGGCCAACATCAAAGAGTAAATCCCTTTTCCACGGCCGCCGCAGCGGCCGCGACCGTCCCCGAAGCTGCTGCTGCAGCAGCTAACACGACCAGCAGCCCATCTCCCCTGTTAAACGAGACGCACCGACCGGCGTACCTGGATTACCAGGCCACCACGCCCGTGGACCCCCGGGTGCTGGACGCCATGCTTCCCTACCTGACCGGGCGGTACGGCAACCCGCACTCCCGGTCCCACGCGTACGGGTGGGACTCCGAAGCCGCGACCGAGCGGGCGCGGGAACAGATCGCGAAGCTGATCGGCGCCCGGCCGGGCAAGAAGGAGATCATCTTCACCTCCGGCGCCACCGAGAGCAACAACCTGGCGATCAAGGGCGCCGCGGGCTACCTGGCCTCCGCGAAGAAGAAGCGACACATCATCACCACGGAGATCGAGCACAAGTGCGTGCTCGCCTCGTGCATCGAGCTGAGCAAGCTCCCGGTGGACCCCTGGGAGGTGACCTACCTCCCCGTGGGCAAGGACGGGCTGGTCGACCTGGCGCAGCTGCACGCCGCGATCCGCCCGGACACGGGCATCGTGTCCGTGATGCACATCAACAACGAGATTGGCGTCATGCAGAACATCGCGGAGATCGGAAAAATCTGCCGCGCAAACGACGTGCTGTTTCACACCGACGCGGCCCAGGCCATCGGGAAGGTGCCAATTGACGTGGACAAAATGAACATCGATCTGCTCTCCATCTCCGGCCACAAAATCTACGGGCCCAAGGGCATCGGCGCGCTCTACGTGCGGAAGGGCGCCCCGCGCCGCGTCCGCCTGCGTCCGCAGATCGACGGCGGCGGGCAGGAGTTCGGGACCCGCAGCGGCACCCTGCCGCCCCACCTGTGCGTGGGGTTGGGGGCCGCCTGCGACCTCGCGGAGCGCGAAATGGAAAACGACAAGCGACACGTCGAGCAGTTGGCAAATTACATGCACAAGCGACTCACGGACCAGCTCGATGCGGTACTTCTGAGAAATATTTGGGTTTCTTGAAAAACACTCTCGTCGAAAATTCTGCCCGCATATTTTCGCAATGCAAAAAGAAAAAGCGGTAGTGATCTCCACCTCTTTTACCTCCGACTCATAGGTTGGTGAGTGATGTTGAAAACCTTTCTGGATAAAGACTGCCCTCTAATTTGCAAGATTCTTCTATGCAGAATTATTTTACGCACAACTTTTACCACCCTATTTTTTTCACTTCTCACAGGTCGAGCTGAACGGGAGTTTGTCGGAGCGGTACCCCGGTAACTTGAACCTGTCCTTTGCGTGCGTTGAGGGGGAGTCCCTCCTCATGTCGCTGAGCAAGGCCATCAGCGTTTCGTCCGGCTCCGCATGCACGTCGGCGAGCTTGGAGCCGAGCTACGTGCTCCGCGCACTCGGCGTGTCCGAGGACCTGGCGCACACCAGCTTGCGGTTCGGCATCGGTCGCTTCACAACCGTGGAGGAAATCGACAACGCGGTTGACGCGATCGTGTCTGCGGTCACGAAGCTGCGCGACATGAGCCCGCTGTGGGAACTCCATCAAGAAGGTAACGCAGTGAACGTGCAGTGGGGATGAAGGGAATTGTTTGACCACTTACGTACTGTTACTGAAGAAACTTGAGCGAAGAGCTTGCTCATTTGTGCTTCTTGAGCAGCCTCGCTGGCGGTCGAGGTCGCTAGAGAAAGATGAAATGCCAACGCATTTCAATAGTTCCACCGGATCAGCAGTTAGTACTTCGGATGGAGCTACTATAATCTACGAGAACATCGTCCTGCATGTACTACATGCCTCGCCCTCATCGCTGTGAAGATCTAGTTTGCGTAAGACAAAAAAGTTCTCAGCAACTACGTACCTTTGATTGTGCAGAACACAACACGTGACCGTGAGAACATAGTTTTCGTCACTCACTAGAAGGACGTCTGACATCGAGCATTTCTTTTTCTTTTTTGTGCTGTTCGCGGAGAAGGGCACGCGTTTTGATAGGATACTTCACCGATCACGGCCTGTGTTCCTGTGTAATAAGAACTTCGTATGGACGACGAGTACCGCTGGACATACTGACAAACCTTCGCAGTTCGTTCAATTTTCGTGGCGTCATCGTGCAAGAACCAAGGCAGTGCGTGCGATGGGCGGGAACCAAAGCAAAAGCTCGCGCAGCTTTGTATTACTTCTTTTGGTCGTAAGACCGAAAGACTTTCTCGTGCGTAATCGTGTGACGCAACAATCGTGCTGTTAGTATTGTGATCTGAAAAATCGTTTTCTTCTTTCTCTACGTCACGTGGAAACGTAAATGAAACCTATAAGTAGGTGGACTACGTCAAAACTTGTCGACAAAAAGATTGCACCATATTTCTTCATCCTCTTCCTCATTAGACAACGAACTGCAACAGATCCCCGCTTTTTTTGTTTCCACCAAACCGGCCAAAAGTAGAACAGGAGGTTTTCTCACCAGAAGGTTTCACAAACTACACACAGCCGGTTTTCTTACCAGTAGACACCTTGTCTGCCCCTTTCGTGAAAAAATGACAAAGGGTGCGAAAAATCTTACCGCTGTTACCGCCCTCAGTGGGGGGGGTGTTCGCGGCGCAGAAGAACAAGAAGGTGACGACGGGCGCAACCCACCAATGGAGCGGGAGTGAGTTGGCCGGATCTTCGGCGTTGATATGCACCGCAAATTTGTCTGGGTCGGGAAGAATGCACACATCTGTCGTGCACATGCAGTTTTTTGATCTGCCAGAAGGTCTGGAAGGCGCGCAGAGAACAAAAAGTTCTGAGCAAAAGCTCTTCCATGCCTAGGCTGCGGGAGAAATGCCCGCTTCTGGGGACGAAAGCCGTGGCTTTTTTGATTTTTCATGCGAGACATACTTCGGCACTTCTTGTTCCTTGCGTTAGCTCCAAATCCAAAGGCCAAGTGTGGTGCATCCTTCCGGTCCCAGACATGTTTGCAATTGATAGTCGATGGAGGTCGACCACAAGAGAAACACGGACTGGAGTCAACTGCAAAGTCGACTGCAAAGCTGGAAACGTATGTCTATATATAAAGTTCTTAGGAATTCATGATACTGATGATGAACAGCAAGAAGGTAGCTTTTTTTGAATTTAAATGGGTGCATGTATGAAGTGGTGACGTATTAGAGTAGTGATTCTGGTGAAAGTATAAAAACACGAGCGACCCTCACGCACCTCATTTAGATTTACTTATTGTCCTAGTGTCTAGCCTCGAGACCAGCCCAAGAAGAAAACTTAAACATGACAGAGGACCGCGTTCTGGCAATTGAGGGAGCAGTGGATTCAATTGAGGGAGCAGTGGATTCCCTGCGGGGCATCTTGCGGCCGGACGTTGGTCTGTACCGGACGACGACGTTCGATCCGTCGATCGATCCGTCCAAACTGCGTCTTCGGTGCGACCCCGAATGGCTCCGTGCGGCACGTGGGTGTCGAGACAAAGCGTCCTTTGTGTCGGTGAAATGGTGCGACACCAATTACGAAAAATTAAAAACTTCCTACGACAAATGCTGCAGCGACGACTGGAAGAGTTTGGTACAAACGTGCCAACAACCGCAAACCACCAACGACGAGTGCCAGGAATATCAAGATGGTTCATTTTACTGGTTTAAAACGTTCGGATGGGACCCAGATATGTGCCCGTGACTCACGCTTTTACTTTTACATGACGCCTCCTCTTTTCAAATAACTTAACAAATCACGATATCTGACTTTGCTTGCTAAATCTACTCAATAGGAAAACATGAAGCGTGTACATTATAACGCCGCACTATTCATCTCAGTAAGTAATCATGACGCATCTGGATCTGAATATATAAGAATCTACAACAACTTCACTTTTTGATTTTGCATTTTTACATACAAATTTCACTAAAGCCAACAACTCTGCATGACATTTCTCTCTCGCAACAGCGAGCACATGATCAATATTATACTGCGTTTTTCTGTCACAAATTTTAGCTTTTATTTTTCATTTTTTTCCAAAAACCCACTTCCAGCACACAGTAAGATTCCTAGCAATGCATCTATCTTTCTATATCGACGAACGAGACGCGAAGAGACGCAGCTGCGTCTTTTTCGAAGCCTCTAGAGCATGATGGTATCCCTCTCGCAGTCGACAAAGGACCGTAGAAACACATAAAAAGCGCATCGCACTCCTTACCAAGACAAGTCGGCTTTTTCACCCCTTCTCGTTGCAACCCAACATTGGAAGGCTGCTTTATTCATTTGTTTTTTTCTCGGCTGCGATCTTTCTTTGAAGATTCGTAATTCTTTTCGTTTTACGTCGCTTCTAGGACACAAACCAATCCGCGCATTTCTTGCCAGTCGGACGTAGCGAATGAAAAGCGAATGAAACGTAGCAGCATAACTTCCACAGGCTACCCAACCCGTAGTACAACATCACTTTTTCTGCTTCCCCCCCCAAGCCCAACGAGAAAGACATGAAAAAAAGAAAAAGCGTTGGTGTTTTGCAACTTTCCACGAATTTCACATTTCGAAATACTTACCCCAACGGTCTTTACCCTTCTGTGAACCTTTTATCCTTGGGAAAAAACAAAAAACATTTGCTTTCTGTCTGAGCAGCGCCTGGGAAGAAGAAGGTTGCACCAGGCGCGCTTGCTGTACTAGTATGCCTGTCGTAATTGAGTTGCTGTTCTCGATTCTGTCTCACAATCGCGCCGGTCTGCAAGATCGAAAGCACTGTCGTTCGTGTTTGTCGTTTTCACCGGGGTCCTTTCGTACTTTTCGCAAAGCAAAGTGGCAGCATTCTCCGTGTATTTCGTGTGCCCTTGGTCAGACGTTGCACGTAACAGTTTCTTGTGCCCTCTGGTCTTGGTGCTCGAACTCGGAGCAGTCGCTTTTTCGCCGTCGTTCTGAGTGAGGACTGTCCAGTGCTTGCAAAACGGCTTAGGACAATATCGGATCGTGGTGCTCCTGTAGGTGTTTTATTACTACCACGAGGTTGTACCTCTACGTCTACCTTCAAGAGGCCCAGAATCGAGGAAACGAATGAAGCTGGTTGCAGTGGCTTCGTCAAAAGCGAGGCGTACGCATTTTGTTTCGAGTAAACAAGCATGAGAGCGGAGGGTGGTCAAGAATATGTGATTGAGCTTGATGGTTCTGGTATGCAAAGAAATAAAACACGATTTAGGGCATCAAATCGCAACTGTCCGTGGTGGTTGGATTTTTTTCGTAGGTGCATCAAATTGATATTGATGCCCCGCGCATTGATTCAAATCAATGCTCTCATCCCAGCGTTCAATACTGCGCAGCGGTGGAGCGACAGGTGTAGGAGTGGAGTTGTAGTAGACAGACAAAACGGCACGGATCAAAAAAGATGTACTGATACATAGGTGCCGGGTCGTGTGCAGTATTGTCGCGACGCTTCTTCGGCTTGAAGCTTGGGTGTGCAGGAAGAAAAAAGTTTCCGTGCAGTGAAGATGACCAGACAAGAAGGCACGTGCAGCCGGCGCGTAAAGAAGTACTAATTGAGTACTAGAGCCGCGGCCGCCCCGAGCTGATCTGGAGTGCTGGGTCCCTCCGCTCCGCTTGCTTGCTGTTCGTAGGATTGTAAAAATCTTGTCCGGAAGTCGCCAATTATAGATCCACAAGATGACGAAGCAGGACAAGTTGCCGTCTCTGGCGCGCACCGTGTCCCTGGCTCAGGGTCCCACGGACATGATTGCCCGGAACAAGCAACTTCTGAAGCAGAAGCAAAGCGCGGGCAAGGTGACCGGAAAGAACAGCACCACTGCGAGTAAGTCCGGGTCCTCGCCACCGCCGCGGAAGCAGAACGAAAAACAACCGAAAACGTCCCCTTCGCGGGGCCGACGAAACGGGCCGAAGGAAGGCATCAACGACTGCTACCTGTCGACATGGAGCACCGGCCACACAGACCCCAACGCCAGCTCCTACCACGAAATGCAGGCGCCGCTGTTCTGCGGGGTCTCCAATCTGTACCACGCACGGTCGCCGACGAAGCAGAAAGTCACCCGCGTGACCAAGTTGAAAAGCCTGAGCCCCATGACGGTAGGCAGAGTATTTGTAATGATGCCGAAGCATTAGCATATATATTTTGATAGTACACGAAAATGTAGCAGCTGATCGTTGCGGTATCTATTGATTCGTTTTTATGGTTTGACTTTGAGTGCAGTCCTCCATGACATATTTCACCGGCACTATGTGCATGTCCGTTCCCTCCTTGTTCAGTCGGGTACCCCAAACTCGAGGTTTCCTCTAGCAAGCGGCCCAATCTGCAGGAGGATTTCGTGGCTCAGCTGCGGAACATGGGAGCGCTGCTCCGGGAAACCGGGGGCCAGGAGGTGTCGAGCGAGGAGAAGCGAGAGCGGCTCGTGACGCAGATTGGCCGCTTGATGCACGCCACGACGCAGACGCAGTATGACTTGAAGAACACGAGCACACTGGAGCTGCTGCCGGAGATCCAGCGGCAAGTCGACAAGATGGATGACCAGATCGTGGGGGGCTCCACGAAGCAAGCCCTCTCCAACTTTCTCCAGTCCGTGGCGCTCGGGGCCTCGGCGAAGAAGGACTCCTACGAAATTTCCCCGACGGAATTCATCGGGGGCAGTTGCGATTTTGGGTTGCCGGAGCGGTTCTCAGCTGGCGGTCAGGTCGGGGCACACCAGCAAAAACTGTTCCCGTTTTCCGCCTCGGCGTCGTCGTTCCACCAAAACGAAGTATGCATCGCAAATATGTGATCTTGGTCTGGATGAGTGCGGCAGTTCGTTATGCAGATTTTGGATGCTCATCGAGGTAGAGATTGCAAGGGACAGCGTCAGAGGTTTTGCTGTTAAACACTTCGCAATATATTTCCCGCATGAGTTGTAGAAGTCTTCACCGTTTCAGCATGGCCAAAAATGATGTGCGTCTTATGCCTCTTCCCGCGCAGGACAAATTTGTGCTTATGCCTCTACTTCCCCTGCAGGACCGACGCATCGCAAGTTCCGGACTCAGATCGTGGATTTGCAATGCATACGAACCGTACAGCTACGATTACTCGACCACGTCGACCACCGCGGTGCTTCACGACCAGTACCCGCAGACTTCGCAGTACGGCCAATTTGCCGCAGGAAACAACCCGTACCAGCAGCAAGCCTTTTCCGGTGCGCAAGACCAGATGATGCTCTCGACCTCGCTGTCGCATTCGGTCACTGGCTTCCCGCCGCCGATTATCAAATGCAAATATGTGTGCTGGTCTGCAAGGGTGCAAACTTGTGATGCTCTCGATCAGTCTTACAAAAATGTGTCATGTGCGATCAGTAGAAACAGCCTGGCCACGCTAAGTTTTGACCTCTGTGTCGCAGACTACGCTTCGCAGAGCACTCGTAGAACCTGTGATGCTACGCCCAGCATGCCCATCAACCTTCTGGTATCTTCTGCAAAACCTGCATTCGAAACTTGTGTATTCTTCCAGACCCAGCCATATTTGCGGTGGATATCGATTCTGGAGGACGAGATTGTGACAGACCATGATGCGGACCAGCCCTTGAGCTACCAAGCCTCCAACATCGATCGCTAAGCTTTGCAAACGACGACTTATCTTCAGGTGTTCCTGAAAGTACAGAAATGAAAAAACAAGTTTTTCCTCCTCCTTCGTGGTCCAAAATGAGAAAGCAAATTTTATTGCTGAAAGTAGAATGTGCTGCAAGGTAGAAAAAATTGTTATGCTGTTTTTGCAGTGTACTAGTACCTGGAGCGCCTGCGAAGCGGTCGTCGTTTTGCACTGCATAGGCGCAACACAAATACGAATTTTATGGCTGCGGCGAACACTACGACCAGCTCGGCTTTTTCGAACAAATTGATCGCGAGCGTCATGTCCCAGGAAGATCAATTACGCACGTGCAATTTTAGTACCCCTTATCTGCTCTCGGTCTCGAATTTGCCATGCAGAGCAGCGTGCATCAACTTCAACTTCAATATCATGCATTTCATTTGATTTCTCTCCTGCAATGGTTTCAACAGAACTTAATTTGCACGCGGATCATTCGTTTCTACACGAACGAACAATTCATTGAGGAAAGAATAGCACATCAGTATATGAACTTTTTTCACGAGCAGGATGCGCCTCTGTGATTCAAATTTATTGACCGCAGAGCGTGGGACGTACTGTATTTTCATTTCCTCTTCATAGCTGTCGCACGACTCCGAAATCGGTATCCCACAGAAAAAAGCTGGCAGGGCATATTTGTAATGCAAAAATAAATACACAGCATGGGCGACCTCGTAGCATGCTATTTCGGGTATGCAATACAAGTTTTCTTGTCTATTTATTTTTGCATTACAAATATGACCTGCCAGTTTTTTTCTGTGTGATAATCGGTGCAGGTGGCTCAACGCAGCTGTCCGGTAGCGTTGGGACTACCAGCCAACAACTCGGTGCTGGCCTCGGAGCAGCCAGTGTCGGTGGGGCACAGCTGGGTGGACCCGGCGGGCACCACGTCCTCGCGTCCGCGTCTACTTCCTCAAATCAGGGAGGAGTGCTCGTTCAGCCAGAGCCGAGTTTGCTCGGTACTACGTTGGGCGCCTCTACGAGCGGTACTCAACTACACAGCCCCGGTGGTCGTGCAGCGAGGAGGGGCGGTGTGAGTCCCAGCAGTGCCAGCCGCTCGCCCGCCGTGTCGTCGCCCCGCAGCCGGAAGCCACCAATCACGGAACCCTACATTGACGGGCACGAGCTGAAAACCCCGATTGGCGCGCTGGTGCTGCCGCTGGGAGGAGCCACGATCGACGAGCACGAGCCGAGTTTTATGGCACAGGAACTAGAACCAGAGGCGGGTGGTGGCTACCTCCGCCCCGCCCCGTTTGCTATCCACTGCGAAAGGAGAATGCTCTGCCGAGCTCGATGCATGAGAAGACTTGTGTTGATGTTCCACCTAAGATATTTTGATACAACCCTGAGTCTAGCCGTTGAACAGTCTAAAGCATCAGAGAAAAAACCAAAAGTGGTCTCAAGGGGTCCGTCTGTTTCTAGGGACCACGTGATGATGCGCAAAGTCGTTTTGCACGCAGGCCCTGCTCCGTTTTGCAGTGCATAAAAGCCTCCGCCGGGACGAACGCGTCGAGTGGGTTGAATCCGATCAGCCGTGGGAGTCGCGCAATCGAGACGCCCGGTGCGCTGGCCGCGTTCCCCGAGTCATCTCCCGTCCACCAGATGCTGGCGCAGCTGAACGAAGCAGCAACCACCGTGGTGCCCGTGGAGGAAACCATTTTTGGCGAATCCACTTGGGTGGTGCACGAAAGCGTGGACAAAAATCTTCTGCCCGGTATCACACGGAGACATTTATTTTTGGTGCTTTGCACAGCTACTCTGACACTAGAACGGCTAGAGGCTACAATGCGTCTATCATGTATGTACTTAAAAATGTCGTGCTGGGTGGATAGAAGTTCAAGTTGTTGTATTCATTGAATTCGCCCACCCGTTGTG